AAAACAGGTCCTTTATGTCTCAGAAAGAATTTGTATTTAAACGTTAACCGGTTTTAAAGTCTGATCACTCCATCATCAGGCACACCTAGTGGGTAAGAGAGAAGAAGAACTGGTAAGTTTTAAATTGTTAACAAGATTAAAAATATGATGGAATATTGATTTAATTTAAGTGAAATTAACAAAACTGATCTGCTAATAATAAAAAATAAAAAAAGTTAAAAAATTAAAAAATTTGCTAACGAATATTGAAAAAATATGTTGGGACAACAATCGCCACCAAAATGGTAAAAGATAAAGAAAAGACCAAAAAAAACTCACCATGATCTCTTATTCACTAGGGATAAAACTACTGAATTACAATCTTATAAAGAAATCGAAACGAACTGAACATTTATTTTTTCGAGTGTTACAAAATATTAAAATTAAAACGCCACATGATAAAATATCAATACTTAAAAATAAATAAGCCTATATCACAAAATTAAATAAAGTTTGCTAAAAGTTTTTAATGCTTGAAAGATTTAAATTTGAAAAATAATTTTAATTTTTAGAGGGAGTGGCCCAAATTAGTAGTTTAAATGATTTCAAAAAATATGTTTATAATAAATAACGAAACTCACCACTAGGTGGAACTACAAAACGTACTTTTAAAAAATTAAAAAATGACAAAAAACCGTAAAAATATCAAAAAATGTGGGGACATAAGACGAAAACTTGACATAAAAATGAATAGTTTTAGTTTAAAATATTTATTTATTTAAACCTACGAACAAATTACTAATCTAGGGGAAGTTTTTTTTTAACTTTAGGGGGAAGAAATTGGTGCAACTGTGACAGTGAAATGGCAGATCTAAGAAATTTTAAAATTTCATATTTGACAATACTATGGGAAAAAATGGAATTAAACAACGTGTAGAAAAGAATAGTGGGAAATTTATAGAAAAGATTAATAATGTAAAGGGTAATTAACCTTTACTTGGCATGCTCATCCTGAGTAAAATACCTGGACTCGTGGGGTACGTACGAACCCCAGTAATAAAAATCTTTTTAAAAATTGAAATATTGATTATTTTGTCTCAAAAAAATTCAGAGATCATCTTTAGATACCACTTTAAACTGTACAATAGTCAGAGTTGAAAAAATAAAGATCAGTGTGGAAAACTGGAAAACTTGAAAAAAAATGCTTTTTTCATAAAAAAAATCGTACCCTTTTGTTTTTCGATAAAAATTGCTGTTACATCATTATAAAACAATAATAATTGTTTTCGTGGATCTCTAAAAAACGGTATTTATTTTGAGAAATTACAGTATGGGTTTTACGAAAAAAATGAATTTCGAAATATAGTAAAAAGTCGTTGTTTTTTATTTTTTAAACAAATATATTACAAAATAATTGAAAGAAGTAAAGTTATTGAAAAAAAAAAGCTTTGTAGCTTATAAAAAAAAAATTAAATGAATGACAATCGGGTCACAATAAAATCCTATGGTCTACGCATATAGGGCAGGATGCACATTCTTTATCTGTCTTCTTGTCTTTCTTCCGATCACATAAGGAGTATCTTTGCTTAATCACGAGATTCAAATTTGCTACACGGCTCAAATTTACGAAAAAATCGACGTTGATGGCACGGTGGGGGTACGTACACACCCCAAATTGCTTTTGATGACTGCTGCAGACCAACTAACGGTCGCTGCGCAATCCTACTGGCCTAGGTATAAAAGTATATCCCTTGACTACCGATAGATGTCGTAAGAAGTTTTGATTTCGAAGATTTAGATATCGATAATAGACGAGATAGAGCGTGGGGTATGTACGTACCCCCACGAGGCCAAGTGAAGGGTAATAATCACCGAAAAAGAGATGAAAAAATGAAGAAGAAATATAATATTGTTGTAATAAGGGTAGAACAAAAGTTTGTTTTCTATTTAAAGCAATGTGGAGAAAATAGGAGAAGATACAAATTGGATCTGTACATTCAAGCATCCTCTGGGAAAACTTTAAGATTAATCATTATTTCTAGGTTCTCAAAGCTAGTAAGAGTAGATATATTCAAGGTGTTATGTAAAATTTTGAAATATGTTGGAGAGTCAAACTCATGTCCTGTGTTTAGATGGTTGGCAAAATGAGAAAAACCAGTATGGTTTTGGTTTAGACATAATATTGTGATCCTTCAGTAATGTTTTAAAATTACCCACGTACTAAGTAAGTGTTAGTTTAATTTGTAGATCCCGGATAAGTCTAAGATGTCCAAATGGCAAGACATTGAATTGTCACAATCCAGTTCTAATGGGCCCATTTCCACCTGCTAATATCCAGTCTAGGGTAGCAAATAGTTTACACCCGACCAATGTGTTCAAGGTATCATCGATTCGAGGCAGAGGATAACTGTCCTTCATAATAACATTGTTCCATCGATGTTCCATCGTTTTTGTGGACCGGTACTACCGGAGAGACTCATAGGCTGGTAGAAGGCTCTATCACCTTATCTTCCTCCATTTCTCAAACAAGTAATGAAAGTGGCCATTATTTAATTAAATAAAATGGAAAAGTCCAAAAATTTACTTGTTATATAAAAAATAACAAAAATAAACGTGCATCACGAAGGGATTTTAGGATGTTGTATTCAAATCGTCAATCATAATATCTGTCATTTTTATAGCTTACTTTAATAATGTTAACTTTTCCATAGTTTAACTAAGACTTTTGACGTTTATTACCTCAATAACGATGGTAGATATAACATATATATTTTTAAAATCAGAAAGAAAAGATCATTCCAAAAATTAAATAATATACAGGGTATACCAATAAAAAAACATATACAGGATATACCAATAAAAAAATATTTTTTCGCATCATCTGAGATCTGCACGTTACTATATTCTTGATAGCATTTTAACAAAATTCAGTTATTACCACACAAATTTAATTTAAAACTTTTTTTCATAGACATTAATAACGATGATAAGGGGTGAGTAATTTATAATGAATAACCCTGTACAACAACAAATGTTTGGACTGCCAAATATTCCATTATGTTTTCTGGAGCTGGTGATAGGCAAATAGCACCAACCTGGCAATATCTACTTCATATTCTTGTAGAGTCTCTTCTCGTTTATGTTTGCGCTTCTTTAGCTATGATTGATACGTGTTCGTGGTCATATCGCATGTTTAGTCTCTTTTTGATTTGTTCAAAATTATCTGTCTCTTCCACTGGTATAATCTGAAGGATATCTAAAGCGTCTTCTCGAAGGGCGATGGTCAAATTTATTGCCTTTTCTCTTTCAGACCATTCATTCGCTCTCGCAGCTGTTTCGAACTGTTTAAGGTAGGTGGCCCATGATATCTTCCCGTCGAAAGTTGGGTCTTTAACATGGGCAGAATTTAAAACTCCAATTTCAACTCCTCATATCACTTTATTTCATCGTCCTTGGCCTGGTATAATACGTGTTCCATTTCTTCTATCTTCTTTTCCATCTCTTTTATTTTCTTTTCAATGAAAGATATTATTTTCTCCTTAACAGAACAAATTTCATTTCCTATAGAAGATATATTAGAAGAGATATTTCAGAACACCTTTTCTTCTAAGAAAGAAATTTGATTTTTTAAGAAAGTAATATCTAAAGAAACTTTAGTTCCCAAGTTGGAAATGTCGGAGGAATATCTGGTTTCTAAGGAGAAAATATCATTTTTTTATAGAGGAAATATCAGCAGTAATTTCAGTTTTCATAGAAGACATATCGAATGAAACTTTGGTTTCTAACCAGGAAATTTCGTTTTTCACAAAAGATATTTTGGTTTTTATATCGGAAGAAATTGAAGAGGTTATAGAAGAAGCGTCATTCGAAAATAGATACGTTTCCGGATCCACACATTCACTTTTTATTGCTTCTTTAAGCCGTTCTGTCCGGTCTGCTTTCTTCCCTTTCGCCTCCTATTATGATTCTGTAATTCTCGACGCGATTCAGCCGCCTCTTGTAAATCACACAGCGTTTTAGCCATTGTGTCCACTATTTATGTACAATTCCACTTTTAACATCAATGTAACGATTGTTTGATTTAAAATAGTTTATTTATTAATAAACAATTTATTTATAATGTACTAATTAATTTAATACTTAGACACTATTATAACTCACAATTCTAATTTATTTGTTTCAATTTATCTTTGGTATACAGTACTTGAAACTTGCCTTCTACCGACAAAATCAAGCTATTTATATAAAGCCAGCTCTGCACGAGTACATTCTCAACGGTCTAGAGTCTCTGGAATTTTTTCCTCTGAGTCAGCCGACGCGCAACGATTTATCTGGTAACTTCTCGAAGGAGTGCGTTTGTCTCGGTCCTGCGGTATCAAAACATAGACGAAGCAACAGCTGTAACAGCGAGAGGAACAAGGTCGGCTTTAGATAATTACACGACATTATTATACATTTGTAGAGTAGTAATTTGTTGTTAATTATTATTTTTTTAATTGTATCCTATTCTATGTATTAAATTAATTCACATAAGTACAGCTTGCCAATTTTGCCTTTCAAATTTGAAATATAAAAAATAATTTTCCCCACAAAAGGCAAACAGTTCTTTTCTTAAATACGACCCTGGTTACTGCCCAAACTTTCCATGCAGAAATGAGTGTCTATAAAGATTAATGTCTGAAACTGTACCGGGTAAACTTGTTCGCGAAGACATTTATTTGAAGAGTCGATAATCTACAAGACAAAAAAACATTCAAAGAGCTCAATTCTTGCCAGCCATTTACGCTTCTTAAGCAGAAAATATTCTGCTTAAATCTCTTTGAGAAGAGTTCTGTTGAGTTTTTATTCGTTTTAATAATCTCGGACTGATTTATTGTTTTAACGAATGGAAGGGAAAGCTACAGTATAATAAGATGTGATAGAAATTTTAATTTTATTTGTATGTACTTACCGTTATTATATTTAAAAAATATAAATATTTTAGTATATCTTTTTTAACGCTTTCTATTTGTTTGTTACAGTGCATCTACGGCTGCTACGTCCACTCTGCAATACTACCAACTTTTCATCGAAGATGCTATTGGCTGCTCCAGGTAATGAATAAATTGAACCAGTTTTGCATTAAATATAGGAAATATGTTAATGGAATTATGCAGCAAAATATTAGCTTAATACAAAGTTTCTATTTTAAAAAATACTGTTTAAAGGTTTAATGATTTTTTTTTAGTATTAAAATAATTGACATTATGACAGGTATTGATTATATTTCATACATTATCTATGCACTATACCTATACAAATATTTGACTTCCTAAACATTGATTCAGTGTAGCGAGTCAGTTTAATCAGCTGCTTCAATGTGTTGGATGTAATTACCAGTTAAATCAAATTAATTGTAGCCATCTTAAGCACAGAACTGAAGTCATATTTTTCGTTTTGTAAGCAATTAATATTATAATTGTCTCCAAAACTATCTTCATATCGATTTTTAGTTCAAGCAACAAATGCTCAAAAAAAGTTATAGAGAGAAATGCATGGAATACAATTTTTGACTTTGTAACTTTGTTTGGACTAGTTAGGAGGTAAACGGTGACCGGAAAAAAGCGCACAGGAAATAACCGCACGAGGAAATATGCGCACACGGAAAAAACCGCACAGACATATAAGCGCACAGGAAATAACCGCACGAGGAAATATGCGCACACGAAAAAAACCGCACACGGAAAAAAGCTCACGGGTATAAAAGCGCACATGGAAAAAAGCGCACATGGAAAAAAGCGCACATTGAAAAAAGCGCAAAGTGCATGTAGTTTATATTTATATTTTGTTACAATTTTTTGTTGTTTGATTAAAACTTTAAATATCGTTGTTTATAGTAGTTACCATAATTTTTGCTGATAATTCAGGAATCTACTCAGTTATTTATTCGGAATTATTATAAGTACGATACAAAGAATAGATCTGTACCTTGGTTTGTTATATTCCAGGTGAAAAATATTAGACAAGTTTAAAAAAATTCTTAAAATACTTTCACAATAAAGTTAATACGGTTTATAATATTTATATCTCCATTCTGGATTGTTGAGGACAGACTAATTCCACCAAATCCGCTTTTAAAAAATCATAACGATCAGTTTCGCCGCGAGGAAATTATGCTGATGTGGGTGTATATTTTACTTATCTCATACAGTGTGCATCTTAATTAAAACGAAATATTTGCAAGTGGTCATTTATTTTTACTGGAGATTATAAAATTAAGATAGGTTCTTATTATTTCATTTATTAGTTGCTTTTTTGTTAATCATTTTTAATTCATGATAAATCCCATGCCGTCAATCTCTTTATAAGTTGCCACATTGCAGTTTCAAGTAACTTGTATACTTTCGTCTTTTAACAAGCAGAAGGCAACGGAAACAGACATTTCATTTGCATATGCATGGATGTTAAACAGTTTGGCAGCTCATTTTTCCCATTTAAGTTGGCGAAATTTACGAAATTTTTCAAAAATAATTAAAGGGTCACTAAACGGCATTTACAAGAATTGATAGTCGAACCGTTTTAAATAAAGACACGAATTAAACTCAAACTGTGCCTAATATTTTAACATTTCAAATCTTCTTAGAATAATGTTAATGTTAGGTACTCATGGATTATGTCATTAATATCTATTTATTATAGACCGTTACATTAATTAGACAAAAGTTTTGCAAATTTAACAATCTTCTTTAAATATTGTAAGGTAATTAGGGATTATATCATTAATATCTATTTATTATAGACCTTAACCTGAATTAAACTAAATTTTTTCAAAATTTAAGAATCTTCGTAGAATAGCGTTAGGTTTTTGGAATTCTGTCATAATAACTTTATTTCATAATATTTTATAATAAATTACGTTTATAAGTAAGTTACTAGTAAGTTACTGAAGACTGGTTTTATTTTTGTTTCGCGCTAATTTTAAAATTTAGACAAGTGTACTATATTTTTTATTGATAAATAGAATTGGTTTTTGGTTCGAAATATTTTTGAAGTTTTATTATAATTTTTGATCATTGTTTTCATTTATAATGTTATAATCGTTAACGATTTGTAATAATTATATTTATGAAATTCCGGTTGTAATGATTTTGCATTTTTTGTAAAATAGCGAGTTTTATAGGTACATATTTTATCTTTAAAACCTAAATATTTTTGCAATTCCATGTTGATTGTATTTTAATTTTATAATCGCCAACTATTTGTACTAATATATTCATGGATTTGTGTTTATATTTTTTTTATATAATAATGTAGGTACAAACGTAAAATGCATATAGGTTTTTAGTGTAATATATTTTTATTCCATATTAATACATTAAAAACGAAAAAATGAATGTGTAACAAAAGATAAACGCACTTTAATAGACGTACTACTGTAAGTTGGCTATTCTCCTTAAGTAAGATACTTTGTTATCTGTTTCTTGATACTTTTCTACAGAACTGGCTACAAGCGCGTACAGTTGTCTGTATTTCTTTTTGGTGGGCTCCAGTCTGTTAGCTTGGGAGTTCACCAATGTAAGTTTGTGGCATGCTAAATCTCTTCTCAATCCATCGAAAAGCATCCATATGCTCGGATGACTGCAATGAAATATGGAATTAAGGGTATTGTGAAACTCTTCACAACATTTGGTCGTTCTTGGCGTTTCATCAAGAGCGGCATCGTAATGGTTCCATATTCTCGGATGGAATTGTGGACTTCTTCCAGCGGCACCTTGTATATAAGTTGAAAAAAAATATGTAAGGACGTCGTTAAATCTCTCTTCATCAGGAAAAGTTTCTGCAAGGCTTTTAAAATTATCTCGTACGTCTTCTAACGGCACAAACGATAATGCTGCCAAGGATTTTAGTTTTAATTTTGTGTCGATGTTCGATTCGCATTCCGATTTTAAACCAACTGCATTGACTTTTCTTATAAGGCTTTGACACAAATGGAAATAACATCCCTTAATTTCGGCTTCTGGAAAAGTTTGCCCTGCAGCATTCATGCAGGCTTTCTCGAAGTCTAAAAGTATCTTCTGGGGCGCCATGCTTGGAACTAATCCTTTTACAATTTGAAACATCTGTAGGTATGTTGCTTCATTCTTAGTTTGTAACAATATGTACACACATGGTGGATACGAATTTCCTACTTTGGCATGCAAAGTATAAAGTTGATAAAACATCGTTGGTGCTTTATCAAATGTTCCGTCGCCGAACAGGGCCGACTAGAGAGGGGGGTAGCCGGGACTAATTCCCGGGGCCCGGACTCAAATGGGGGCCCGGCAGCGGTATAAAGGGGGCCCGACAACAGATTTTTTTTTGTTTTGTATGAGAAATTCGACACAAGACGAGAACGGGAAGTTTTTTTTTTTTAGAAAAAGCAATTGAAGCAGAGGAAGAATTGAGGATTTTTCTTAGAAACTCAATTCAACTAGAAGAGGAAAAGTTTTTGTTTGAAGAGCTGTTTTTTGTCACGGAGCCCGATCTAGAGAATTGTACTGGGGCCCGGCCTGGCTCTCGGCGGCCCTGTCGCCGAATAGAGTGGCTTGGTTTAATTCGCACAATAACTCGCGATCTCCCAAAATTAAAATTCTGTTTGGATCTTCGACTCCAGAGTCATGCAGCACTAAGTCCTAGTATTTGTCAGGAATTGCAAAATGCATCGTAGATGGATTTGGCAAGTGCTTCTCTGCTCAATAATTTCGAAGTGTTCTGGCAAGAGACGATTGTTTTGGAATATAAGCAAGTGCATCATTGCGTACTCCTGATAATTTATCTCCAATAACATTGCGAGATGTAGCATTCACCGCTGTCATAGCTTCTCGCATTTGGCTTCTGGCGATATTTGCTTCTGCTTTTTGGGGACATGAATCATGACAATGACTGCCTGGATCTTGTACAATGTCCTTGTCCTTCGTTTTTATTAAGGAATGGCACTTAGTTTGTTGATTTTCACGGCACCTCCATGTATCTATCCCATTTGTTGTGCGAAAATGTATATATTCAAAACCATTGTAAATAAGAACTCGCTTGCCTTTTTGACTAGACGAAAACTCCATTTCGTTTATTACAAAAATTTAACTTAACTTGCTCAAGAATTAGAGCACAATAAATTAACTTTAAATTCCGTAGTCTATTTATGGGCGGAGGTAATTTGCCCACAAAATATTTAAAGCTGCTAATCCTATAGGTAATTTGCCCACAGCAAGTAAAAGGTCATCTTAATCCTGTTGGTATTTTGCCCAAATTTATTTCTAACTGAATAAATCATAATAGATATATCTTTCATTTATTATTTTTTATATATTATCGAAAAGTAAAAACACATTATTAATTAAACTAAAAATTATATTAAACACTAATTTTTATTATTATAAAAAAGTAAGTATACATAAGTTATATTATATTTTTTATATTTTATTTACATATTTTTCAACTGGGAGGGATAAATGTGATACAAATTTTATATACTCTAATCTGCTGATTTGCTGCAGATCAAATCGCTGTATAAATTTTTCTAAACACTGAATTTTTTGTTTTACACTTTTGTCTTTGATTTTCTTAGGTATACTTAAGCTTTGTATTGTGACATACGTGTCGATTTGAAAGTCTTTAAGCTTTTCTATAAAAATATATACAGAAGGATGTGTACAGTAGAATGAAGAATTAAACCTTGAATGAAACGACTCACAGGCATTTGTAGTTCTTGTAATTGAAGCTGTTTTTTCTGCCCATATACTTGGAGGAAATGTAGAATTTTCTTCAATATATGTTTCTAATAGGTAATCGGCATACCTATCGAGAACGGCATTTTCTGGTTTTCTTGCCATTAAGTCAAACACAAAATAGTCTCCAACTTCATCGGCGTTTAAATATGTCAACCCAAATGATGTTTTAAGCCATTTTCCGGTATCACTGTTAAATGTATATTCAGTCATTAATCCCAGAGACTGAATTTTACGATACCACGCTTGATGTAGATGAAATCGGCAGCCATTGATTACAGTATTAGGCCACATATAAATTAACGCCTTATGAATTGCTATTTCAAAATCAACGAACACTTTAGATGGATTTAAAGCAATACTGTAAGTTTCCAAAATTTTATAATGCCATAACGAAAACAAATGTTTTTATATATCGGTAGATTTGTTTGGTAATAAACAATATACCAGGGACACATAGTGTCCATTACACAGCCCATGAATGGTAAATAATTGTAGGAAAAACTTTGTACAATACGAAAATGTTCCATCCATATACAAGACGTTCATTTTACACAAAGTACGAATATTTGTCTCACATGTAAATACAATAATATTATTTTCTCTGCTATTTATTAAAAGAAAATGTTCACCTTTACTGGTTTTAAATGTATTAGAATATAAGTCAACTGCATCATGCACTTCTTGTATATTTGTAGGTAATGGACCTGGTAGTATTTTGCGACGACTGTTGTATATAGTTTTTCTTATGTAGGACACATCAATTGTAGTTAGTGACTCTGGTAAATTAGTAGCAAGTACTTTACGGATAATTTTAGAAGGTTTTTCCGAAATATCATCAACTGCTTTTCGCTTACACGAATTAGAAATAATTTTCCTGTTTAATTTCGGTTCATTTGCTTCATGGCTATGAATTAGGTTGCCTCTGGATACTAAAAGTTCAGGACCAATTGTAAATACAGTGGCATTACAAGCATTTGTTTTTCTTTGGGAGCATCTCCAAGAAACTTCTCCACTTTTCATTTCTCTATATTTGGCAAACGTAAAATTCTCCAAAAGGAGTACATCTTTCCCGCGTGTGCTTTTAATCAATGTAGCTGACATTATAGAAATAATTATTGTTTATAAACACTCGAATTACAATCATCAACGTATAAAAACTGACTGAAATATAAACAGTAAACACCCAAAGTAAGTACCTATTAGAATTATTAATAATCAGGTAGGTACCTATTTGTGGGCGGATGTAATTTGCGGGTTTAGGTACCTGAATGCTACTGTGGGCAAAATACCAGTAAGATTAACGCACCCCTCTACTTACACAGGTAGAAAACAGAGATTTGTGGGCAAAAAGGACCCGCCGGTCTATTTATAAGCGCCTTTACTTACCTGCCTTAATTCTGTAAATAATAAATTCCAAGAAATATAATAATGTCACAACGCCGAATAAATGAAATAATAAGTACCTATCTAAATTTTATAATGCCTAGTAAAAATAAATGACCACTTGCAAATAAACGATTATTAAAAAATAATTTAACAATCTCGGGGCGATCACTTCCGTCACAAGGCTGGTACCTGGTATAAGTACCCATTCAATTACGGCATAATCGCGCTTCAAAGGGATTAAATTGCTAAGAAATATTTCTAGGAATAAAAATATTTGTAAGATTTTAGATATTCATTAGAATGATAAATACTGAACATGCATAACTTTTACAAAAACATATTTAGATCAAATATTGTTCCTATAATCTAAAATTTTAAATTGTATAATTTTTTTTTTATTGTGGTACTTTTTAAATTTTTTGTAAACAGTTTGTTGGGTTAATTTTAACATATGATTGAGCTTGACAATTTAATAAAATATGTACAAAATGGTATAAACTCGGTTGAGAATTATAGAAGTTGGATTAAAATCAGAATGCCATTCCCATGCATTTGTTGTTTTGTGTACATAATATCTGTGATATTAGTCCGCATATTTGGTGGTTACTTTTTACACCGATATAATTTTTGACTATGTATTCATAGAACTTAATTTTTTTATTTTTATTCAGAGAATCTTCAGTTGTTCTGTATCCTATTCTTAACGAGATATAAACTACATGTACTTTGCGCTTTTTTCCATGTGCGCTTTTATACCCGTGCGGTTTTTCCCGTGTGCGGTTTTTTCCGTGTGCGCTTATTTTCTGTGCGTTTATATGTCTGTGCGCTTTTTTCTGTGCGGATATTTCCTGTGCGCTTATTTCCTTTGCGCTTTTTTCCGGGATTCCTTGGCTACGTTGTCCACTACATCAAATCTGTAGGCTGGCTCACGAGCTAGGAGGTGCCTATCATCTTAGGAGGATACACAATGGGCCTAGTGAGGCCTAAGTGCCGTGAAATGAGCGCCCCCTAAATAATGGCTTGAGTTTGGTATAGCGGTGTATTTATTTGCAATTGAAAATATGTTACGTTTTTAACAATAAGTGTCCAATAGAGCGATATTTCACAAACTGTTTCTTAATTGTTTTATTCTTGTTAAACTGTTTTCTAGAAATATATTAATAACTAATTTATTTGTTAATAATTTTAGAAAACATAACTTTAATTATATTAATTTTACTAATCAGAGTAACTATTTAAAGTATAATTGAAAAATCTCACCATCAATCGTCCAACTCTACATTTATTCTGAATTGACGTTGACCATTCTATCTTTAAGCATTTACAAATATGTAACTATATAAAAATGCTTTGTGAATATGAATGTTAATAATGTTACAACATACCTTTTATTGTTAAGTCGGTTTTCTTTAAAATTTGGAATTTACTCAAATTACGTTCCTTTATATTGAATTTATGAAATGAATTTAGGTCTATGTCATTTAATGTAGTTCTACTATTTAATTCACTTTATTTGTACACATATAATTTAGACAATCAACTAAACTGAATTGAACATTAAAAAAAATATTTTTAATTACCTGCATAAAATCATGACCACTTTAAATCAAATATATTTTGCTGTAATTATTCCTATAACTACTTTTCCAATTAAATCCATACAACTGGCTTTAAAATAATATTTAATACATACATGTATTTTAGAATATTTTGTGCCATTGTGTTTTCGCTAAAAAACTTGCAACTTTTTGATCTTTTTTTTACAATAAGTTATTCGTGTTTTTAGAACCCCGACATCGTTCTTGTTCACTATTTGAACGTCCCTTATCCGGACGACAACAAACTAGCCGTCATAACCCCGAGTCTGGCCCTGTGGGCCGACAAAAAAGAATGGACGAAGGAGGAGCTGGTTTCGCAACTGAAACCCATGTTTTTCAGCGAAGACGAGCCGGACATCAACAACGAATTAGAAATATCGGTAAGTGACGTCCGGTTTTTTTTTCTATTTCACTTAAAATTAAATAAAATAGTACAGTTTATTTAAAAACAAAGTAGTTTTTATTACAAAAAATAACACCATAATAATTCAAAAGGCAACTTAAACAACAAAATAAGTCGTTTAAAATCAATTCCAAATTAAGTTAACAAATATTATACATAGATAAATTGATTGAAAAGAAAATAAATTCGCTGTTCTGGTAGTGCCACCTACTTTATTAGGCCTAGACAAGTGAAGCACAATATCCTCAATTGAAACTATAGATATATCAGGAACGTCGAAATACGTAAAATTACTGCCATGATGTCTTAGAAATGTTACATTGAAATCATCAGTGTCTTTCAAAATCTCAGTAACGCGCCCAACATAATGTTTTAAAGTTTTGTTTGTTACAAACTTCACAAGAACAAAAGAGTCCAGAGCAATATTTGCTATATCATTTATAATTGCTTCGTCATCTTTATCTGATTCAGCAAGGAAGTCTACATTATCAGAATCGGTCAATTCCACATTCATATCGCTGTCACTTGAGCTTTTTTCAAGTTCTTTGTCAATCGTTTGTTTTTTTGCTGGTGAATCGTTCAGAAAATCACCCACTTTCCTTTTTATAACAGACTGTTTTTGTAAATTTGTTTTTCTTGCTTTCTTAAATTTTTCTTCTTCTTCAAGTCTTCTGTAAATAGGTGTGGTGGTTAATATTTCAGATTTTTCCTTTGATGTTTTTTAACGGAAACTGCAGTCGCAGAAGGATACGGCTTTAATTCAACGGGTAAAATAAATTGCTTCTCGGGAGTCCTGCTTCTTATGGATGAAGAGATGGATGGCACTACTTCAGATTGTTTTGCTGCTTCAGATAAATCTTGTTCCTTAGGCTAATTTTCCACTATATTATCTAAAATTTCCTGCGCATCTGTAACAGTCGCTACCATAAAATCTTCGTCATTGAAAATATTGTCATTGAATGGCTATATCCCAGTGGACCGGAAACCCGATACACAAATTCGAGGAGTGAAAGCTAGGGAATACGATTGTCCTAAAATCTCTGCAATATCATAAATCGTAATTCTTTTTCCTGGATTATTCAGCAACCACGTCGTGTAGCATTGATTATATTTTTTTTTCAGAGGGAAGTAAATAGATTTGTCCAATGGCCGAAGCTTGTGGCTGGTATGAGGCGGTAACGTTAATAGTATTACATTATTTTCTTTCGCTAATTTTATTGTTTTCATTGAAATATGGGATTCATGGTTGTCCATGATTAGTAATACTGGCAATTCTGGTGTTGATATAGTATGTTTTATGAAATGATTTAGCCATTGCCCAGAAATGCCCGTAGTTATCCATCCTGACGGTGATGCTGTTCCAACAGTTCCAGGTGGAGCATTTTTCAACATGTAGTCTTTGAAATTTTTTCTTGGAAATACAAGAAGTGGCAGTATAATATTTCCAATTGCATTGATACATTCACACATAGTAACTAGAGTTCCCCGCTCACTTGAGGTTATGTGTCCAACCTATTTTTGACCTTTCCTTGCAAGAACTTTTCCTGTTTCTTGCACGGTAGTAAGGCCAGTTTCATTGACATTAAAAACTTGTTCATTCTCCAAATTATATTTCTCATAAATTTGACGGAGATTGTTGAAAAAGAGTTGCACCACTGATTTATTGAACCCCATTGCTCAAAGACGTGGCTTCTACTGACCGTATGGACAGCTCTTTTCGTCTTTTCATAAAGCCGTTAAACCATAACCTTCTAGCAGTACAATTTTCTGTCCATGAGGGGATATTTTCTTTCCATTTGCTACTGCTAAATCATAGGCTAACTTTCTAAAACATTTTGGGTTCATACTATGATGAAGTTTCGTTAGTGTTTGGAAATATTCACTTAGAATCAAGAGGACATTCTAGGTAAAAATATTTGATTCATTCTGTAGGTAAGAGTAAATCTTGGTGTCCTTTTGAAAAATGGTGCGTTCCAGTTAATTTCATCTCCCTTTTCCCTACATTTTTGCAAATAAAGCTTTAGTGTAGTGTGTTAAATAGCCGCAGCTTTAGCAGATAATCCACCATTAACCACATCAGAAATTGCATTGGCCATGGTTTCTGAGGGAGTTTTTTCAATCTCTTTGTTTGTTTTCTTTCTGCGCGGCATTTTTTTAGAAAAATCTGAAATAAAAGAAAATAACAGTAAGCAAATTTGCGCCAAGTAAATAAAATAATTTAGTGGTGACCACTGTACCTATGTTTACTATGGACAATGTACCAACAAACCACTTTCTTAAAACAAATTAAGTTAAACAAAAAAAAAGTCCCGCATAAGAATAATTTTTATGTCAAGAACTACTTACATGTTATATGTATATGTTAACAATAATAGATTACTACGATATATTTTGATTTGTTCACTCACGAAAAAATTACCTCCTTGGTGTGATTTGCTGCAAACAGAAAATTATAGGTTAGATTTATTTCTGGTTGAATAAATGACACCTGTTACAGATAACTTTGTCGACGTAGTCTGTGTATATTAGGTAACCTTTATACTAGATGGTAGCACCAGATTTCTTTTATGATAAAAATTGCGAGCAGGTGGCCAGTGTTCCTATATGGCTAATGGCTACTGTTCCAGACTCTCCTCTACGTGATACATTAATATGCATTAAATAGGTAGCAATTTCACCATCGTCTTTACCTATTACTTCAAACATAACATGTACAAAAATTGTGAAATATTGTTATATTATGTCATAAGTTCAGACGTGAACTACATTTGAAATACACTATCATTCAATTAAACTCAGTTCATTTGTTGAACTTAGTTTAAACTTTCATTGAAAAACTGGCCCTTAAAGTTCTTCTTGTTGGCAAACGGAGCATCCAAAAAGGTCACGTTGTCACGTCGCTTTCTATTTTTCCTACATATTGTCATGTAAATCAACTGCAATAAAAAGTAAAATTGTGATAATTATGCTGTGTTCACATTAATTCGCACACTACTGTATATCAGCCCCCAGGGACGGCTTGTGACCAACATTTTGGGGGTTCACAGTAGCAGAATATAGATCTCGGTACAGATGTAGGTAAAAAACTGTCAGTGTTTTAGAAAGGAATATTAAAAACTTTCTAAAACACTGAAAGTTTTTTCATACATCTGTACTGATATCTATATTGTGTCACTGTAAACCCCCAAAATTTTGGTCTCGAGCCGCCACTGTCAGAACCTCAGAGGTAAGGTGTGTTAAGTCACCAAATCTACATTTGTCGGAAGAAACATTGTATAGTTCACTTGTTGTTTTAACAAAAAGTATAAAGAAACGGTGAATTTACTAAATATTGGAGTCTTTGTAAAAGTCAATTGTTTGGTCAATTAATTTTGATTTTTTGTCAGATTTTTTTACTTTGTCCTAAAATTTTGACTTTGATGTGACTTATTATTGACCACAAATTTGCAATATGTTTTCCACTAGATAGAAGTTGGTATGACAAATACACAAGTAGAGAAAACTTTTCTCTGAAAGATGTGATTTACCACGCTTTACCTTTGAGGTGCTGATGCACTAATAATGAATTTATATCTACTGGAAAAAAAAAGTTCAACAAAATCAAAAAATGCTATTATGTTCATAAAGTAAACCAAACCAATTAATCATGTTCTAATACCTGGGTAGAATTTCAAATTACAGACTGCCGAAACAGTGGAGGCCATAGTCAGTCAATTAATGGAAAAGCAGCGGGTAGCCAGACAAGCAGCATTGGTCAAACAATTGGAATGTGGTTGCCCTGATTCAACATGTGCGGATGGCAAGAGTTGTTCTCATCCCATGAGAAGGATAACGGCGGCTAAGGAGGTGGCCAGTTCGCCGTTGCCCAGCTCGAGCTCAAATTCAAGGCCGCCAAGCAACTCCGACAACAATAATCAAGTTTCTTCCACTACGGGATCGGGACCTATGTTATTGGGAAACGGCAATTCGCCGAGAGTGTATTCCAGGGATACACGTAACCAACAGGTAATTTTATTAATTTTTATAATATATTTATCGACAGCAATCAGTGTTACTAGTCTAGTACAATTGTACTAGATCTAGTACATTATTTAAGAATCTGATACTCTAGTTCACTCGAAGCAATATCTAGTACTTTTACTCTACCACATTCAAAATGGTTCTATTTTTTTTCTAAATCGCTTACTTTTTATGACACTAGAATGTTATGGAGCCCCACTCTCTTTTAACTTAAGTGAAAACAATTAAATAATGAACCATTTGGTGAGTATTACTAATTTAAAATTTTACAAGTTTATTTTTTTTTAAGTATTTTTTATTTATTACATATACATTTCATACAATTAAAAATTAAATTAACATAATAATCAAATTATAATTAAAGTTAAAGCACCTGTATGTGCTAAACTAAAGTAATAGCATAGTAATATACAAATTTATATTTATAGTATACATACATATATATGTCGCAGGCTTATTATAAAATTAGTCTTATTATAATATGCCTAGGCTTTTTCAATACGACTAGGCATATCATAATACTACTTAAATAATTAAGAATCTCACAATTTGACTAATAATTTCAGGCGTATTATAATAAGCCTGCCGCTTGGTAGTCTTATTGTTAAATTGAACCGACGCGCGTGTGTTTTAGAATCCGATTAGATTTAATCCGTCGTATTATAATACGAATGACGATGTGCCAGGCGAATTGCAGTCATCATTGTTGTTGAGTTGATTAGATGTTTTAATTTTTTTGTACCTACCTAATATTTGTGCAAAATATTAATTATATTTAAAATGAGGGATTTAAAAAGTGTTTTTGCAAGCCAAGAAAGACACAGTGCCATAGATAAATATTTATGTTTTAAAGCTCGTATGAAATGTACCAGCAAATGTCATAAAAGCGGACCATGCTGTAATAAATAATCCTAATCTATTTTTTTTCTGTCATCGGCATTAAATACTAAGGTTATAGCCTCGTGTTCTGTGTAGGCTTTGTTACTGTTTCCCAGCGCCAGTGTAGGAACAGCACTGTCAATTAGAACCCAACAGTGAATGTTCGAGTGGAATCCTAATCTATTATTTGTATTTTTATTTTAAATAGTTTAGAATGTTTAAAATCGAGTATAGAATACCAGTTGTATTGTAAACACGATTCGCCTGGCACATCGTCAGTCGTATTATAATACGACGGATTAAATCTAGTCGGATTCTAAAACACACGCGCGTCGGTTCAATTTAACAATAAGACTAACAAGCGGCAGGCTTATTATAATACGCCTGAAATTATTAGTCAAATTGTGAGATTCTTAATTATTTAAGTAGTATTATGATATGCCTAGTCGTATTGAAAAAGCCTAGGCGTATTATAATAAGACTGCTTTTACCATAAGCCTGCGACATATACATAGTTTTAAAATATCAGTAATAAGAATACAAAATTATCTAGAGTACATCTCTATATGCACCAATATTAGAAGTGATGTACTGTTTTGATTTCTTCTGAAATAATTTTAAATTTTTTATGTTCCTCACATTGACAGATAAGATGTTAAAGATTTTGGGAGCAACATAAGTTACAAATTTTTGACTTGCATCTTGTTGAACTGCTGGAGTTCTTAGATTCTCATTTAATCTGGATGGAATTTAGGTATAGGGAAATCTTATATGGAATGAAACATAAATGTCTATCAGTTTAAGTTATTAAATACAGGGGGTGCTATTTAAAATAAGAATATTATTCAACTCCATATGTAAGTTGAATTCAATTATACTCAATGAACACCCTGTATGATGTAATGGAAAAATTTGCATTTTATTCGATAGTCTAATATCTTGGCTACGCATATCGCATATGACTGTTGATGTGTCTTAAATAACCGCGACATACTAAATTAAGAATCCTTTAAATATTTCAAAAACGACAAAAGATAGGAATAGGAAACATTACAGAAACTTTACTTTATTTTTTCCGGGGAATCAAAAGACACCTTCAAATATAGGGTGCTCCCTTTAAAAAAACATAACTTTGATATAAATTCCTATTTTTGGGTCACCCTGTACAATCCAAATTATTTTTAATTTGTAGTGTTAATGGCTCTGTATATCCCTATTAAAAAAAAATTCAAATTTTAAGCCGTTTTCCTACAGAGACCGACGCGTATAGGATGCGCCATCCTGTATAGCAAGTTTGGTCTCAATATCTCGACCCGAACTGCCCTAGCCCCAAGAGCCAAACCCTAACCTTAACCAATTTTTTTATATCTCTTTTTTTTTATTTCATAAGATCTAATATTTAATTTGGGTTATTAAAAAAAATGATTTAAAACTATGCAGCCTTCGTGGGCTTGTGTAGCCATTTTAATTCCCAAAATTTTGTTCAAATTGTTGCATAAGCAATGAGGAAAACAGGTTCTATGCGAAAATTTTGATTTTTTAAAGAAATTAATATCATTTTTTGTATATACTTTTTTATATTTGACTAGTTCAATCGCAATGGCAATATCATTATTATGTTAGAGTAATCAAGGTTTTTTAGTTAACGCATTGTGGTTATTGGTTTTTAATTTTAACCTCTTACATATCACCAAGACCAAAGATAATATATGTTAAAAATAATATCAACTTCAAATTATAATTATTAATATATGATTTTTCCTTTTTCAGACGGCTCAGAACAACATCAACTGCTCCTCAAGTTCAGGCAACACACCTCCCTTAGTTCTGAGTCTTTCCCAAATCCAAGGCGGCGGTGGATTGCTGATCCTCAACAGCAATTCCGGCAACAGCAGTACTAACCATCAGAATCTAGTCAATCCCGTATCAGTAGCTAATTTCGTGTGCAATACAAATCGCGTGATTCCCAAAGAAAAACCTAGTCATTTGGTACTTAAACAAGAAGTCATGGAGACGAATCCTTCTTCCTGCTTGCATTCCTCCAAACAGAATTCCAAATCTGTTCAAAGAGATATGAAGATGGAACTGAGCGAAAATCATAGACAATCAGTTTTTCACGATAATTCCATGTATAATAATAGGTAAGCACAATATAAACATGTATATTTTTAAAACGGTGCTTTCATGTCAAAACTATTAATAACTTTCTGTTTTTACCTTAAAATTCGTATTATCTGCATTTAAATACAAAATTTGTCTTTTCTAAAAATAATAATAATAACAATATATAAATTAATTACTATTGTCACATTTCATATAAATTAATATTTTTCCAAATTTGAATTACTTATTTAAACAACACCCTGTACATAAAACCTTGTTTAATTATGTCGCAAATTTGTTGTTAACTTAATAATAATTAAATATCATTTGGAGTGAGGGTAGCCATATGTGAGTAGTAGGGATTAAGTGTAAAGGACCTTTTCTTTAACCTTTACACTTAATTAAATATCAGTCTAATATCAAAAAACTATGGGAAAGTTATAGAGGTAATCCTGGGAAGAAGCACTGGAGCTCTTTCCCCAGGACAGGATTCTCTACGTAGGAAACCCTCTTTGTAGAGCATTCCCAGTAGCAGCTTCAGTTCGATCAGAAGCCGACTGGAGGCTCTGGATCTCGATCGTGGAAGATTAAAAGTCGGTTTTTGTTTTGAATCCGGGTTTTTATATGTAATCAAGGGTTGTGGCATGTGTCCCAGATGATGGTGTTAATAAATATATATATAACATTTTATCTGTTGCATTAGTACCATATTTGTCAGAGGCGGATGGGACCCCGTGGATCGGCGCGGGAAGTCAATGAAATGAAGAAGAACCTACAATTAACATAAATAAAAAGGAACTCCTAATTTTATTAAGGAACTCCTAATCTAACGTTTTGCAGTCAAAATAACAGTTTTTTTCAGAATAAAATATTTGTTTATTGAATTATATGTGCTGTCTGGTATATTAAACACGATGGGATTATTCAAATTTTAGTTTAGACATGAAAGCACTTTTAAACTACTTCATGATTTAAGAACCCCTCTACTTAATTTCAGAAAAACATATTTTTTTAGAAATCACCATCAACAAACCGAGGTTATCATGTCCAGCGCTCCGTCAACTCCGTCGAAGCATATGGATACCAGCCAAGAAGAGGTTGTCGATGATTATAAACATCAAAATTTCTGCAGTGAGACAGTAGTGCTTTTAGGAACCGATTCTAGCGGATCATTAGTTAGCAAAAGCGACGGATCTTCCATTATAAACGGGGGGTTTTTCAATGAGACTTTAGATTTGTCACAGGTGAGCTTTTTTTTACTATCTATTCTACAAACTTTCATATTTTGCTTATTTCTGACAGTATTTTTTTTAACAAAACATTTTTATGGCAAAAGAAGGCCACATGTAAACAGTTATAAACCCTCTACGATTTATAACCTTTAACTTCATCAACGCAACTTGATACTTTACAATCAAATAATTCAACTCAAACACATTAGAACACATCTTTAATCTATCAATATTTTAAAAGACATCCAATGAAATAAGTCGACTTTGGCACCAATTTTAAAAAACACATATCTTGTAATTGATTTTTTTTCTTGGGTGTTAATACCAACTAGAATTTATTGTTATACCTTTAAGAACAAATTTTTAAGAGACTTTGTACATGTGGGCCTAATCTATGGTTGATATGCTATTTTAAAACTCTTCTATTACTAGGCACAATGTTATTGTTTGGTACTTATTATTATATTTATCTTTATACTCATTTTAGGAGGACATTCAAAGAACCCTATCGGCAAACATGCCACTGTGTTCAACAGAACTTAATAATCAAAACAACGCTCAAGAAGCGAACAATACTGACCCCCACCATCATCAACACCACCATCACCACCACCAAAACAAGACCCAACAACCGCCACTCACCACCGAAATCAATCCCATGGACTTCATCGATAGTTGCGACGTCATCGTTTCTCCGACGCACGTCGTCGACGATGACGTGTTCGTCAATTTGGATGCGTTCGATATGCTCGGCGAGTTTCCCGATCTGGAAAGTTTAGATTCTGGTCATGCTGGACTCCTAGATGTTAATCCGTCCGAAAATAGAAGTAACACGAAGGCACAACCAGAACACCAACAGAACAACCATCCAATGGAGGGGTCCGCTAAGATTACCGATTATTCTCCAGAGTGGGCTTATCCGGAAGGCGGCGTTAAGGTTCTCGTTACCGGGCCTTGGCACTCTTCTGGACCCTATACCGTACTTTTTGATACATTCCCCGTACCTACCACTCTTGTACAAAGTGGTGTGTTACGATGTTATTGTCCAGGTGAGTTTACTATTTATATTGTTTTAAAAGACTTGTCGATATCGGCAAAATGGAAAACTTAAAAAGATGGTTTAGATTAAAGTGATTTTTAATATGTGTTAAAAATTAACTAATTAATTATAGGACACCTACCCGGTGATATCAAATGGAAAACTGCAGCTGTGAATGATAAAAAATTTATTATTAAAAATACAACTTTCTTTCTAATTGACAAATTATAAAAACTAACAAGACATTACAAAAAATATGAAAACTCTCGCCAAAACACCAACTGTGAGAATCTCCTGTATTTTAGACTTCATTTGAACATCCTTCCACTTTAATATTCACACCATTAGCAGTGAAAATTAAATTATTCTGGGACAAATCTAACTTGTCTCCCACTTCTTGTAGTGGTAACTACATCAGATGAAATATTCAATTAATATTTGGAAGATCTCTTTTTTAATTTTTGGGCTTACATTCCCAAAATGTTGTTCAAGTAGATAAACTCTTTGGAGAAGTTGCACTACTGTACTAGATGCAGTTTTTAAAATGGCCAGACGGTTCTTTTCATCTCTTCCTAAGTTGTTAGTGTTAATGGTGCTAATGGTTACCTCATTTTCTGATTCTTGGATGCCTGGTTTCTCATAATAGTAAATGTTATTTCTAATCATAAACGCACTTCCTCCACTTGCTGCATTTGATGGGTGGAGAGTGTAATAAAACTTGTATCCTCTGAATTTAATGGAAGACTCCGTGGGTCTCAGTTATATATCTATTTTTTTGGATATTAGTTTGTTTTTGGAGAACACCATTGGCATTCTAAGTGGCTATTCTAATATTTTTTTTGTTCGTTGGTGGTTTTGTTATATATTTATGGTTTATTTAATTCTTCTAGTTCTTGGAGCCTGTCAGAGAGAGTGAATCTATTCAGGTGATTAAGGATAATAATAACTCATAATTGGTACTTTCTGCTTGGCTGGCTGACTGTGCAATTTGTGGTATGGAATTCATAGCTGGTTGTGACCTTTGAATTGGTTGTTCCTGTGAGTTTTTTACCTAAGAATATGTTATTTAATGTCTGACAGTGGGAAAAACGTTTAAGGGTCTCTTCTGCCTCGTGTGACAGGCTTCTGGTTCACCTATTCCCCTACAGTGAATCAGCAAGACTGTGTGGCCCTATGAAGGTGATTCCCGAATAGGGGTTGCTCAAGCGCCAGTTTTGGTATCGCAGTTTGCTCTTCGACCCTGTGGTACACCAGAGTGAACTCAAGGCAAACTCAGTGAAGGTAAAAATAATTCCAGGCGGTCACTGCTAGGTAGCCACTATACTAGAATAAATAAAAATAAAACACTTATCTCCTTTACACCTCGAACCCTACGGTACCCTGAAAGAGAACGGTTAAGAACCAGCAGTAAGAGAAACAAAGGAATAGGTAATAAAATATATATTAAAAAAAATACAACGGTAATTAAATATAAACGGCTCCCTGTATTCGGAAAATTTTGTAAAAATAAATGATTACACTTGAAAACTAATTAAATAAAAATAATATGCGTCCTACCTTAGAAAATACACGGGGTTATTCAATGATCTTTCGAAATCACGGCACTCACGGAGTATTTCACTATGAACTGTAAAAGGGCGAATAGTTTTCGGCTGTCGGCAATCAAGAGGCTTACGGTGGTCGGCAATCAAGAGGGCGTAATTCCCAGATGTGATTGAATGTATGCTTTTCGGTAAATCTGAGTGGGGATACCACTACTACAGCCGGCTGTTTACAATTTAAAAATTAAAAAAAATGTCCTTCTAGTACCTTGACAAATAAAGGTAGATAATCGGTACGAAATCGACTCTACAAAATGCCCATTTGGATATAGGAATATTTTAATCTACGAGGGTACTCGCAATTGTTGATAAACTGTAATTCCTGGTAAACAGAAATACATACATGTCCTCAGATGGGAATTAATTGAAATATACATTTTTAAATTAACTGAGAGCAAAATTTAGTGACTTCGTCACACTCGTCATTATTTTGGGTTTAGTGGTGTTTTCCTTGCTTATCTGAAAGGTTTTAGTTCTATAATTAGCAGGATGTTCCATTGGGCATTTTATACACTTCGGTTGTTGTTTTGGATATTTCCGCAATTCTTCGTATGATGTTGTCCTACGGACTTTACGCATCTTAATTTTCTCTTGAAAAAGCTATGTGTTTGTCCAAATAGCTGGCAATTTTTGCATTGCGGAACTAGTTGTTACTTTCTTTTGGTTTCGATTCTCTTAAATTAAGTATTGCTTTGATTTCGTAGATTTTATTGATATCTTCAATACTTTATTATATTACAGCTTTTTTACATTTTCAACCTTGACTTTCAACAATATCTTAAAGTATGTCTGGTATTATTTTTGTTAAGGATGTTTACCCGGCCAGCTGAAATACAAACTTTTGTTGCGAAATGGTTTATTTTACCACAAGCAGTACATTTTTTTCCTTTAGCTGGACAACTGTCTCTGTCTCGACGTTTCGAATAATCACAAAATATACACTAGTTTCGTTGGTCGATAGAGTTCTGTTTAAATACTGTTCCTGCGTTTGGTTCCCTGCGTGTATTTTTGTTTTGGTTTACGTTTACCCGATTTATTTGGGCCACTTACGTTTGAAACATTAAAGACAGTCTTTTACTGTAGATTGACGCTTGTTCTAACTGTAAAGCATATGTCTCTACGTTTTTTAGAGAAGCTTGGTTGGTGGTATATTTGAGAATAATTTCTTGTTGCTATTCTGCATTATTAACGCCGATTACTAGTTGGTCTCCTAAACGTTCATTTATATTTCCTCCAAATTCACGGGAACCGGCTAACCCGCGTAACGTCACTTTCGGATAACATACGTTTTTCTACCATAATATTTTGTTAAAGTAAGTCATTATAGGTTTTGCCAGACACTGATTCTAGTTTGAAATGGTCTACTACTTTAAAAGGTTCAGGGCCTACTTTCGCAAGTAGCAGGTTTCGTTTTTCTACCTCTAATTGATCATAACCATAGATAGAAAGCTCGACTTCGAATCGTTGGATGTAATAATCCCATTCCTCTTTTTCTGAGTTAAATTTATCAAAATGAAATTGGGGACGTCTCAAGTTGTAGGATCAATAGATTCTGCAATGTTCTTGTTTACTTTATGAAATTTCAGGTTTTCTCGTCGCCAAATGTAGTATTTCTTTGTAAATGAAACACTGTAACTAAAGGTGTAATCAACATATAACAAATCTTTTAGCAGAAGATAGGAGGAAGCTTCTTCTTGGTGGTCCTCTCTCCTAGTTGTAAGTTACGTCACCCCGCTGTCCTGCTTGCCAGGTCAGCTCTTGTCAGACGGTTGTGGCTACTGGCACCTCGTCCGAGATAATACCACAGTAGATCTCTAACCATTACTTTAATGTCTCTGTTCTGTTTAATTTCATAAGAAAGCCAATTTATGTCTTTGACATTCAAGGTTGATGTGACATTTTTGAAGAATTCTTCTTGTTTAGTGTTAGTTTTAAATTGGTTATTGCTTAGGGCTGTAGCTAAAAAGGAAATACTATTTTCCGCCAGTGTATGGCACAATTCTTAATACTTATTGACGTGGCTTGCTATTATCGGGAGAAATTTCATTGTTTTTTCGACTATTTTTTCTCTTGTTATAGATTTTTGCTACCTCCAGGTTGGCCAGAAGAGGTTTCTGGAGAGGAGTTGGCTTTTAATTTTTTTCTTCTATTGTTTCTGCTTTCCGTTGTTATGCATTCTACTTCTTTGTTAACTTGATCACCGATTTTTCTTTCCAGTTCTTCTTCACTAGTTTCATAATTCGTAAGAGTTTTTTCTTTAAAATTTTAATTTGTTTTTGCATATTTTTCATATTGTTTTGCATTTATTGTAATGCACTTTGTGGTTACTTTTTTGTGTACAACGCCTGTTCAGTCTGACTTTTAGCTTGATTTTCCTGAAATAAGGCTTGATATTGTTCATCCAGGGAATTTTCTTCAACTTCCATTGTTTCCATATTATCTGTTCGATTTTCCTGAATCAGATCCTGCTTTTTTACTCCAAAATCACTTCAGCAGGTGTCGAATCTGTTTTTTATTGATTGTAAAACTATTTTAATTTGCACATTTTTATTTTTGTTCTTAAACATTACGTTTAGCCAATCATTGTTGATTTTTTAAACTGTTTCGATTAAAAAATATTTACACTACATACGCGAACGAAACTGACCTAGTTACTGAGTAATGTTATCAAACATATATCTTCACTTGTCGATAGCCGAATATAAACTGATATGAAGCTCTCATGGAGACTGGAAAAACAACCTTTAACTCACCACCTCCAAGCTCAATGGCTTGTTAATAAGGAAATTCACTAATTACATATTTATAATTTTGCTATATGCTGCAAAACAATTCTAAATATTGATTTATAAATTTTTTTTTTAGCGCACGAAGCTGGTTTAGCAACCCTGCAAGTAGCATGCGATGGTTATGTGATTTCCAACTCTGTGATATTCGAGTACAAGTTGCCACCTAGAGAGGAACACGTGGCTGCACCTGAACCTAAAGTAGAAAGATGCAATGATAATTTACTCAAGTTTACCCTCCTCCAAAGACTTGAGGCCATGGACGACCGGCTACAGATTAAACAGGAACCTGTGGATAACGATGTGGTAATATTAAAATTAATTTTGTTTTTTAAACTATTAATTGGATAACGCTTTTTCAATTATTTTACAATTTTTTGAGACCCAATAAGTCTGTGAAGACTTGGCAGACTTAAATTAGTTCTTCTCTTTACTTGAAATATTATTCCTTCTTTATTAAGTAATTCATCTCGTCTTTTCTGATCTTTTACAGCATCCAAAGCTAATATTTCCATATTTTCGCCTCTCGGCATTCGTTCTAAATTTTGCAATGTCTCTTATGTTCTTGAACATTTTTATCGTTTCTTAAAGTTCCTAATAAACTCGCAAAGAAATTAGTTGTAGAAGATTCAATAATAAAAGAATTATTTCCTACAAAATATTAATGAAAGTCTTTCAGTATTCATTCTCCAATAAGACTAGTCAATAACTTCCATTATATTTCAGACAAATAATTGTTTTACACAAAAGATGAAGAAAACTCACTATCTTCTCTTCAGAATCAATTCTCTAACCGATGATAGACGCAGATCTCCTCTTAAATCTTTTATACTTATCAATTTGTTTATTGGCCCTTCAATTCTCCTCTTCCATTTTTTTTTTTTTTTTCGTAGGTTGAAGACACGGCTCTATTCGGACAGGCAAATTTTGAAGATCGACTAGTGAGCTTTTGCCAAAATATGACGTCACGAATATGGAGACACGGTGAAGAGCTCAGTGTCTCCTGGTTCGCTAGTCACAGAGGAATGACGCTTCTTCATCTCGCAGCTTCGTTGGGTTATTCGCGCCTGGTTTGCGCCATGTTACATTGGCGCGCTGAAAATTCTTCATTACTGCTCGAAACCGAAGTGGACGCTCTTAGCCAAGATGAAGATGGATTCACTCCTTTGGTATGTATCGTGTCTTCATAATAAATCATGGGTTCTGTCAACAACAACAGTATTGTGCTGTTAGGTTGACATCTGCAGATCTATATAAATTAGGTCAGATATCTACAAAATATATTCGGAGACAATAACCAATAGATTAAAAACAAATTCTACTGACACTTGGCTTTCATTGATTTCCAAAAGTCATTTTATTGCTTCCAGGTGGTTGATGTATTGAACGACCTCAACAACCAACATTTTATTTAAGTGAAAACATTTGGGTACATTCTTAATAACAATTTACCAATAAATCTGAAACAGCGCAAAGTTTGATTGCCGAAAAGGGGGGAAACAATCAAAAATCTAAGAACAAAACCATTTCATTCACCTAGTTCTTAAATATTGGTCATTAGTGCAACTGAAGGTTTAAAAAATGTCAAGGATCATCACGTCAACCTATCAAAAGATGAATTGCAGCAAATTAGAAAGTAACTGTAGAAAAAGTTGATCTTTTCATTGAGAAGTATTTAAATGCATTAGTTACTTCAGGCTCATTGGCACAAACGACAGGTGAATGTGCATCGGGATCTTTAACTTCAAAGTTCAAAGAGCCAAAAAGTCAACAATGTAGACCTAAGACAAAGAAAAAAGTATTATTGTAAATTGATTGAGATACCTACGTGAATAACCATAAATTAACAAAGAAGAACACAATTTTATACTGAAAATAATAAAAGTACATATTTTAGTTGATAGAGAACTTATAGAGTAAAACAAAATTAATATTACCAAAAATAAACTAATTTATGCTACGATTTTTTCTTTAAATAAATTAATATCTTTAGATGTGGGCTTGTGCCAGAGGTCATATTGAAACAGCCGTGATGCTCTACAAATGGAACCACAACGCGCTCTACATGAAGAACACTTCGAATCAGACTGCTCTGGACTGCGCCAGGGCTAACAATCACTTGGATCTGGTAAAAGAAATCGAAAAGCTAGAATTGAGAAGAGACAAGGCCAATATGATGCTGCAATCAAATCATTCGTCTTCGGAAACCGCTTTATCTCCCACTATTATATCACCAGCCAGTTCGATAGCATCGCTGGTTTCCATTGCATCCACTAGCAAGTCACACGACGGGGTTTTCTTGAGACCAGGAGCAGTAACAAGGTGATAAATTATATTTAAATTATTGTATTAACTTCATATTTCATCTTTTTATTTTTATTTCCTCTATTTCCTCTAATTCCTCTCTATTTCCTCTCTATTTCCTCTCTATTTCCTTTCTATTTCCTCTCTATTTCCTCTCTATTTCCTCTCTATTTCCTCTCTATTTCCTCTCTATTTCCTCTCTATTTCCTCTCTATTTCCTCTCTATTTCCTCTCTATTTCCTCTCTATTTCCTCTCTATTTCCTCTCTATTTCCTCTCTATTTCCTCTCTATTTCCTCTCTATTTCCTCTCTATTTCCTCTCTATTTCCTCTCTATTTCCTCTCTATTTCCTCTCTATTTCCTCTCTATTTCCTCTCTATTTCCTCTCTATTTCCTCTCTATTTCCTCTCTATTTCCTCTCTATTTCCTCTCTATTTCCTCTCTATTTTCTTTCTATTTCCTCTCTATTTCCTCTCTATTTCCTCTCTATTTCCTCTCTATTTTCTTTCTATTTCCTCTCTATTTCCTCTCTATTTCCTCTCTATTTCCTCTCTATTGCCTCTCTATTTCCTCTCTATTTCCTATCTATTTCCTCTCTATTTCCTCTCTATTTTCTCTCTATTTCCTCTCTATTCTCTATTTCCTCTCTATTTCCTCTCTATTTCCTCTCTATTTCCTCTCTATTTCCTCTCTATTTCATTTCTATTTCCTTTCTATTTCCTTTCTATTTCCTTTCTATTTCCTTTCTATTTCCTTTCTATTTCCTCTCTATATCCTCTCCGTTTTCCCTCCGTTTCCTCTTCATTTCCTCTCCATTTCCTTTTCATTTGCTCTCCATTTCCTCTCTATTTTCTATATTTCCTCTCTATTTTCTTTCTATTTCCTCTTCATTTTATCTCCATTTCCTCTCTGTTCCCTCTTTATTTTCTCTATTTTCTCTCCATTTCCATTTCCTCTCTATTTTATCTCTATTTCCTCTCTATTTTATCTCTATTTCCTCTCTATTTCCTCTCTATTTCCTCTCTATTTCCTCTCTATTTCCTCTCTATTTCCTCTCTATTTCCTCTCTATTTCCTCTCTATTTCCTCTCTATTTCCTCTCTATTTCCTCTCTATTTCCTCTCTATTTCCTCTCTATTTCCTCTCTATTTCCTCTCTATTTCCTCTCTATTTCCTCTCTATTTTCTCTCTATTTTCTCTCTATTTTCTCTCTATTTTCTCTCTATTTTCTCTCTATTTTCTCTCTATTTTCTCCCTATTTTCTCTCTATTTCCTCTCTATTTCCTTTCTATTTCCTCTCTATTTCCTTTCTAGTTCCTCTTTATTTACTGTCTTTTTCCTCTGTTTCCACTTTTTCCTCTTTATCTCCTTTTTTGTATTTTTCCTATTTTTTCTTTTTCCTCTTCTTCTTTCTCTGCTTCTTTCTTAGCTTTTTCCTACTCTTATTCTTCTTTCGCTTCTTCCTCTTCTTCCGCTTCTTCCGCTTCTTCCGCTTCTTCCGCTTCTTCCGCTTCTTCCGCTTCTTCCGCTTCTTCCGCTTCTTCCGCTTCCTCCGCTTTTTCCGCTTTTTTCGCTTCTTCCGCTTCTTTCGCTTCCGCTTCTTCCGCTTTTTTCGCTTCTTCCGCTTCTTCCGCTTCTTCCACTTCTTCCGCTTCTTCCGCTTCTTCCGCTTCTGCCGCTTCTTCCGCTCCTTCCGCTTCTTCCGCTTCTTCCGCTTCTTCCGCTTCTTCCGCTTCTTCCGCTTCTTCCGCTTCTTCCGCTTCTTCCGCTTCTTCCGCTTCTTCCGCTTCTTCCGCTTCTTCCGCTTCTTCCGCTTCTTCCTATTATTCCGTTTTCTTATTATGTCACCTATTTCCATATCATTTGAATCCCGGTCTTTGTTAGTCTGTTTTTTGTTTTTAAACTTTTCATTTCTTTTATCCTACTCTATTTTCCTAGTTGACTATTCTTTGTGTCCAATTATTCTATGGATCTGTATCTTTTTAGTCCTTCTGAATTTATCATTTCTAAAATAATCCACAGCAACCTATTAGTACTTATTCTTGTTAAATATCCGGATCATTTTGTTTTTCCTAGCTAATTTTTTATCGTTGATTCTTGTTTTAAATTATTTATTTTCTTTTTTTTTAATTTCTCTCGTCTTGTCCTCGCCACTATTTATTTTTTCATTTTTATTACAATGAATTTGCTTTATTGTCTTCTTTGAACGATTTTCTATTTTTCCATTCCCATAAACATTATTATTTAAAACTTCATATATGTTTGTTGTCCAATAACTCAAAAAAGAAAATAGACTGAAATTTCTAATTATTTAATAAATTTTCAGAAGCGAAGTGAATAAGTATAAGATCCTAAACGTGGACCTAGATTCCGACTCTAACAGCAAACTGATAACGTCGGCCCCTAGTCCATTGCTGTCGGATTTTTCTTCAAGTACCAGAGGTAGCAACGGTCAAAAGTTGGTCAAGCGGCCATCTATAGACAGCGGAATCAACATGAGCTGTGGCCCGGCTTCAGAAAGTTATAGACCCAAGAGTTCCAAGGTGTGGAGTAGCCGTGAAGCACCAAAACTTTCCAAGTGAGTAACCTGTATTTGTTTTTTGTTTTATTTATTTTTATTTAGAATATTGCTGTTATAGTAGGTAAGATATTTCCTCGCCATTTAGTTTTGATACCTTAAAATTGAAGAACATTCAGACGCAAGTTTTATTAACTTACAAAAGGACTAGGCAGCTTTAGCCGGACTCGCCCTCCCCCTCCCCCACCACAGAATGTAAGCAATATAAAATTCATGTCATATAAACAAGTTACATTCTCAAGCTTCAACAAAATTTAACACTGCACCAATCTTAAACAAACGTCTTTGAACCGACATTTGAGTATGGGCCTTGTTCCCCTTAATATATCAAGTTTTTACTTGGTCTCGTAGATACAAGCATCGATCTTTCCTTGTTATAGTCGCCTATAAAGCAGTCCTGGATTTGTCAATAGGCCGTATAGGCCGCGGCCTAGAGGCGGCAGCGTCCTAGGGGCGGCATATTTCAGAAAACGCTCACTTGATTTTAGAGGATAAAAGTCAAACAAGTTCACTGGTTTTCTCATGGTTTTTTATAGTAATACGTAAAATCCCAATAGAAACTCATTCATATCGAAAATTATCAATCCTAGGTACCTACTGTTATTGTACCTATTTTATCTATATTACGACGATTTGGTTCAAGAATGTGTTCATTTTCACAGTTACATTTCTTCTAATAAAATTGTGTGCAGTAAGGCCTGGATCACTTTCCACTCCGGCTACAAATTGTTCTTGGGAAAGGAGTTTTTCCTGTTTAAAATGCGTGAAAAATTATTAAAGGTCTTCATTGTCTTGAGAACAAATTAATTATTTAGCTCGTTTCTACATAGAAGCAGAGATAATGAACACCATATACTATGATGATATTATAGATGATTTTGCTATTAAAAAGTCCCGTAAAAATTGTAATTCTTGTTTCTTTCTAACGCTCTTTCTTAATGACTAATTTATTCGTTTATTTCACTTTAGTTCCTTCCTTCCTTACTACAAATGGATAATTTTTAGAAAGATACAAGGGGCGGTGGAAATAAAGTGGCCTACACTCATAAAAAATATTAATCTGGCTTTGCTATAAAGTGTCTTAACCTCTTTTAGACTCAAAAGGTCTTTCTAACTGTCCTAACTGTCCTAAGCAAACAATAGGCTTTCAGCTTTGGAGAAGTATGTGGGCTTTTATTTTAATTGATGTCCTCTGAATGTAATTTTCTTATATATTTCGTCGGTCTAAAAAGAACAATTGATTGTATTATTACACGCAGATGGTTGTTGGCCATTCTAAATCATGTAGGTCCATGATCCGACATTATTAAAAATATTCTGTTTTTACTCTTTTTTTTTTTCTATAAAATACATTAAGAATGTTTGTTTTCAGATTTGACAGAAGCATGTCCCTACCTCTGCAGACCTCGTGTTTAAAAGATAATTCTTTTGATATTGAGAGTTTGGATTCTCATAAAAAGATGGATTTTGCATTGTGTAAGTATAAATAACGTTACACTCAATAAAAATGATATATATTTTAAATTGTGTGGGTAAGTAGTAAAAAGAATTACGATAAATTGCATGAAAAATGGGCGCCTTACTGAATTTTTGGATGGTAGTTTAGTTGAAATGGTATATAAAAAACGTATTTATTGGTGAATTTCGTTCAGAGTTCAATTTTGATTGTATTTCTTTTTTTTTTTGAGTTTATTCTTTCATATCTCTAGATTTTTATCACCACAGTTTCACGCTGTTCCCCCCTTTTTTTTTTTTTTCTAGTCTATTTTTGCTGTCTACATTCAATGACAGCGTAACCGTTCTCCTTAATTTAACTAATTAGCTTACCTTTCAATTTCATCCTTTGATTCTCCTATTTATATACTTTAATAATCTTTCTTGAGTATCCTTTTTCATTACTGATGTTTCTCAGCCAAATAAATTTGTATTTTTTAGTTAAGTACCAAGGTGTAAAGAAAAAGGTCATTTATTTTTAACATACTCTATTTTAATTGGCGACAGGTTCGAAATAATTATTTCATCATCAGACACACCTAAATGTAGAGTCATGGAGTCAATGTATTAAAAAGTGGAACATATTTAATATAAAAAATGAACATTGAACAAAAAATCAGTCAAATATCAAAGAAAAGGATTAATAATAATCTGACTTAGCATGACATATCTATCTTAAATAAACTAAGCATTTTATCATAGAGTTATTGGTCATTGTGTAAATATATTGATATGACAACACCCCGTATATAAAAAATAAAATTTTCCCTGAGACTCGCGGTATTTGGTCTCTATCGGTCTCGTAGTTATATTTAGCCGTAGATGGAGTTTGCCACTCACCAGCCCTAAGCACTCTCGAGCAATCCGACTCTTAGGGCTACTTGCACCGCTTGTTCTTAAAATATAAGCCAAGTTTAAATTTACATTTTTCCAGTAACAATGTAATTTTAAGCTTCGCTTATTTCTTAACGACTAGCGGTGCAAATGGCCCTTAGAAGAGATCCTCCCGTAACTGATAGCGGTCACTACGGGTCTGACATCTTCTATGACCTGTAGCCCCGTTCAATCTCGTGATAATGATTCCTCCCTAACACCACATTTCCTGGTACTGCATTTGATGCTGGGCTCTAAAAATGTACACAAAATAAAAAAGTCCGGTTTCTAGATTTTACATTTTTGCTCCTCTGCTTGCTGTTGTTCTCCTCTATTCTCCGACCCTTTCGTTGTCTTTCTATAATTCCTCCGTTACTCTAATTTCTCTTCTAGTCAATTCTCCTTCTTACTATCTGATTCACCTTTCTGATAAACCCAAATATTATTTTTTTTTCTTTCTTTGTCTTTATATCTTTATTACAACTCTCCAACTCAATAACAATCAGTGCGTACAAAATCTTTGCTATATCTACCCCAACATTCAATAATTGTTCTCTAACATTTCTCAAGAATTCTGTGACAATTTTCAAAAATCTCATGACAATTCAAAAAAATGATCGACATTCTGATTTTTAACTTAAATTTTATAAACTAGTCACAACGAAATAGGTATCACTTATTTAAATTGTTATAAGTCCAAAAAGAGAGGAGATACTTAAATTGTGTGTTCTTATAGTATAGATATGTGTCTTTAAGAGTGTGCAAGTTTTAATTTTTAAACATTATCGTACATTTAATAAAGTTAAAAATAAAGCAAATTGTTTATTAATATCAAAAAATTTCGAAATATACAAAAACTAATAATGTGTATGCCCTCCTCTGGCTCTTAAAACTTCGACACAACGTCCAGGCATAGATTCTGTTAGTTGACGAATCGTTCCTTGCGGAATATTGTTCCATTCCTCCTGAAGTTGTACTGCTAACACCTGTAGATTATTTGGCTGTTCTCGATCCCGCAATCTTCTTCCCATGATGTTCAATGGGGTTTAAGTCAGGGCTCTTGGCTGGCCACTCCATTACAGTAATATTTTCCTCTTCAATAAAGTTTTGAACAATTCCTGCAGTGTGGGGCCTTGCATTATCTTGTTGTAAAACAAAATTAGGGCCTTCTAGATGAGCCAGTGAAACGACAATAGGTGCTAATATCTCATCGATATAACGCCTAGCTGTTAGAGTGCCATTTAAAGAAACATGTAAGCGTGTACGCCCGTTCAATTGAATACCTCCCCAAACCATTACAGAACCACCGCCAAAAGCTCTTACTTCTCTTACATTGCAATCCAAAAATCATTCTCCACGGCGTCTATAGACTCTCACACGTCCATCGTTGGAGTAAAGGCAAAATCTTCTTGCTCTACGATGAGGTGGTGTTAAATGAGGAACAATAGCTTGACTTCTTGGGTGTAGTTGGGCTTCATGAAGTCTGTTACGTGTAGTCTGTAGAGATATACCAGTGGCCTGAAAATGTAAGTTTCTTATCTGTGTAGCTGTTCTTGACATATTTTGTAGGGATAATCGTACAATTTGGCGGTCCTTTCGGGGCGTAGTTATTCTTTCTCGTAGTTTATATGGTCTACGGATAATACCTATGGCTTGAAATCTATTCCACATTCGGTGAATCGTTGGTTGACTTGTTTCAAGCAAACGGGCTACGTATTTTTGCGAACGTCCTTCTTGTAATAGTGTAACGGCTCTTGCTACTTCAATTTCACTTAGATGCCTTCTTTGTACAATAGGCCTTCCAAGAACATCATTATTCACAATTTTAAGTCAATTCTTAATGTTAATTGATGTACAAAGTAAAACTGAATGTATCAGAATTTTTTGCGTATATATTTTTTTTATCACCTCCTCATAAAAAAGTTTTATTTTTTATATTGAAAATATACATTTAGCTGTGCTTATTATTTGTATAAATGTCAAGTGTCACATATGGATAAACTCCTATTGAAGGGGAGATTCCTGGAAACAAAATGATGTATTGAAAAAAAAACAAAGTGAATAACAGTAAGAGTAAAATGGTAAATCTGGCAATATCGCAAATGTAAAATCTGGATATAAAGGACCTTTTTCTTTATGCCTTCGTACTAAATCTCAACCACTCATATAGGGCTAACGTCGCCCCTAATCTTATTTTTTAATTATGGACACTCGAACGGAAAATAGTTCAATATTTTACCACATCTAGTAACTTGGCTTAGTTTCACCTCAATCCTCAATGCTTTTTCATATTTATTAGTTGCCCCGAAGTATACAAAATCCTTTATTTTCTAAAATGAATTTTCTCTTTCGTGTTTTGCTATTATATCGACATTACTGTAACTTCTTTTTTGATGTTTAAAATGATTTTAAGCCCACTCCTGTATTGTTCTGAGGTACTGTAGAGCTTAGGTTTCTGTACTAGTCACTAAAAATCACCTCTATATTTACCCAGTAATCCCCGGAAACTCTGGTTGGTATATTTAATCAAAAACAGCAGTGGTCTAATGATCTGCCTCCCTTATTCTCCTGTCCCTCTCTTTTTGGTTAATAGAGCTGTACATTTTTTTTACTTTCCAGCTTAATACGTTCAATTAGAATATTCCAGCTCAAGTTCGTCTACAAGCCTTATTTCTTCCTCACCACGTTTAACTGATATCTTCAACATGCAAATAGAGTGTGTTTTGGAGTATCTCTATTTTCGCAGTACTTGTTCTCGATAAACCACTTGAGATAGACCATAAAGCACCCATGTCCTGTTAATACCTGCATTAAAGAGTAGTCAGCATGTCGGTCCTTACACTGTACTCAAACTCTTATGGCCATTATATTACTCCTGCTGCTACATTTCCAAAGATCTGTTTTATGCTGCTTCTTTGCGATTTCCTGCTGTTTTGTACTCCATATAACCGCTCATCTATTAATAAATGCATAGGGATGATTCCCACTGCAGCTCATACATTCTCACGACTTACGACTCTCCTAAGCGCCACTTTTCTTTCTATCCCTTTCAGTCCTCACTCCATCCACAGTGGTGCTTCGCACAGTAGGATTGACTGTATTTTTCCATGAGTAATTCACCTTTTTTGCTTGACGATCCTACCAGGTTAGGTATTATGTAGTCTTTGCAGTGGATTTAATAGGTTTTTTGCTTTCTATACAGTTCTGTGTTGTCCAAAGTTAACCTCGTCATATATAGCGTAACACCTAAATATCTTACTTCTCTAGAAGGTACCACTTCTACCATTTCCTTTTCCACCGTTGTCCATGGAGTATCACCGCCTTCATCTTCTCTGGAACTAATTACAATTTTATCTCTTTTAGCCAGTATCCTATTTCCCACATAGTTTAATTTGTCCGACTGGTTACATCTTCCAGGTTATCTGACACCAATGTAACGAGGTCATTTGTAAACCCAATGGGCGAAGCTCCTTTGGCTAAGGATATCCTCAGTACCCGAACATCTTAGTTTAATTGACTACCTCTTATGTTATTTTTTAATGAGGGATTGTCTAATTTTCGTCTTATCGTCATCTAAGTTTATTGCAAGAGCAATGTAGTATCTGGACCCCATCAACTGACTTCGACTGCTATTATAAGTATTGTTAGACATATTCTAGTTTCGGCTATTTAAAATTAGTTCCCAGTTCAAACAAATACTAAATCATGTACTCATGTTCTAGTATCCAAAATGTCTCACTGATTAAGAATAATTGGAACAAATTCGTGATAAATTGAAAATATTGGCAAGAGTTTTCACTCGATGCGGTAACAATCATTTACAAAAAACGAAACTAAATCGTATAAAAGGATCATAATTCTTTGCCATAATAATGGCGTTCCATATTTCCTAAATAGATTAAATATTAAATAAGAACTTGGCACGAATTCTACCACATTAAATACGAACCACCCGTATTATCGTAAATTCAGTTTGGCCTCAAATTTTTGCTTTTAAATTGCGATATTTATTATTTGAGTTTTCAGTTCTGTTCAAAACATGAAAAAAAAAGTGTCGGTATTTAGATACCGACCATTAAAATTTGTTGTACTACACAAAATGCATTATTAAATTTTGATTTAGCACTGACTGATTTGTTGTTTTGAAACTTGAATATCTAGGCGAGATAGGGAGTGGTCCCCGAAGCAGTAGCCCTCTGATAGACGTAGAAGGTGTCTCGGATGATGAGAGTGAGCTTCCCAACAGTACTGTAGGTCAGTGCCTTAAATGGTCTGTTTGTTGTCTCTCGGTGTTGTTTCACTGTTGTTTATCAGTTTATACTATTCTTTGTTGTCCTTCTTAATATTGGTTATTGTACAATATTTCTACTTTACTATGGTATTCATACAACAGGATTGTCCAAAAACTTTTATTCAATGTTATTTTTTGCTAAGAAAATAACAGGAACTTCAAAGTGACCAATGAAAGTACGATCATTATTAAGATTTTTCACATTTAGGAGAGTATGCACAACGGGCGAGTTTAATGATATTCAGAAATACTTTTTATAACGGATTGAACAAAATTTTAAAATTTATTCAATTACGAATTGTTTACATTTTTTTTAATTCTATAAAATTTAAACTAAGAAGTGATCAATGATCTTCAAATTTTGTATTAGAATGAATGAGTTAATACTGCCCAAAGAGGCTGGTTGTGAAACAGTCAAAAAAAGGAAACGTTTCTCAAAGTCGCTTACCTTAATATTTAGTCCAATCATTATAGTAAGTTCACCTCGGAATTCGAGATACCCAGCTGTAAGTCTGTAAATACTTGTATATTGACACCCTAAAAGTTGTCTCAAAACCTACATATAGTAGGGTGTACGCATCTATTACATTTCAAGGTCAAAGGTCACAAAAATCGTTTTTTTGCGCTTTTTTTGTAAATATCTCATTTCCTATGGGTTTTTTGCTATTTGTATTTATTATCAATATTGTAGAATACAAAATTCTCTACAAATTTTGTTTAAAAAAATTTTTCATACGGTAAACCGTTTTCGAGATAGATGACGGAGAGCGCGCGGTCACAGCATCACTTCAGGTCAACCGGTTCCTCCGGTCGAAAACGCGCCATATATAGTTGATGAAATATCGATAAATCAATGAATATAAATATTTGTCAATTTTTATTAACTATTATATTATATTTTATCATTTTTTTTCCTAACCTATCCAGTTTTTATTTAGTATTAATTTATTTAACACTTACCTGCCCATGTAATTGCAAAATTGTTAATGAAAATATAGGAATTATATTTGAATTTTAACCTAATTAATATTAATAAATTCTTACATGATGAAAAAAAAAACAAATAAATTATGAATTAATCTTTTTATTAAAAAATTTCATTCAATACATTTATTTTTATTAAAAGTAAAAAAATGGAATAAAAGGTACAAAAACTACAATTTATAATTTTAATAATCTTCTTCCTCTTCATCGTCGTCTTCCGGCTGCTGGTAAATTTCAAACTGGTCTTCATTATCGTCTTCAACGACATTTCTCTCAAGTTCTTCCATGATTTCGGGGTCAAAGGTTCCATCTTCGTTAATGTCGCTCTGATATGGTAGAGCATTGAGACAAGCTTGCCCATTACATTGGCCACAAGCTAAAGAGCATTGCAAGCCCGCTTTCCTGCATCAGCATCGCGAACCACAACCACTCTTGTAGTTGCAGAAAATTGTATTTAGCAAATCTTCTGGAGCAGGTGGTAAAATTGTCATGATAGGCTCCAGAAAATCGTTTCGCATTGCCCAACTCCATACCTGGGGTTCCAAATCATGCCTTAACCAAGTTTGAACTTAATAATATACACGTTTGAAAGGTTGATGAGCAGCTGCTTTTGTTGGTGGAATATTTGAAAGCTGCACAGGTTAATTAAGTTTTGTAGACTTGACGTAATGCATATAACGAAGATGATCGAGACTTTTCACAGATTTCGGAGCATTATAGACTGCCAAAGGGATTTGAGTTCCACTCTCTAATAATCTCTGGGCCGAACAATTTTCTTTCTCAAATGCTGCAGCTAGTTCATTCAAATTTGTCAGTTTCTCAAAAACTTTAAAAAATGATTTTTTCCCTTTTTAAAAATCGCAGAAGTTGTGTCACAGCCACTTAATGCGTGCAGAAATAAAATATGTGTTTTGGAATGAGGATAATTATCAAAACTTTTAGTCAAGTATATCCCCGTTTTTACATTTCCTTTCCCAACTTTTTTAAAGAAAATGTCTTGTTCGTAAGACAGTGTACGCCCAATTAAAATGACAAGTAAATCAATATCTTGGCCTATTATAACTGCAGTTTTTTCAGAATTTGATTCTTCAATTGCAGTTTCAACAATAAGAACATCAGCATTATCTCTGGCTTGTTTAGTAGTAATATTTGCAGCTTGTAATTTTTCAATTAACATATTAATGAGCATATCTTTGTTATTTCGATTTGATAAGAATTTTTCTTGAGTAACTGGTACAACTATTGTTTCATCTTCTCTGCTGCTCCATAGCTTTTACGTTCTTACTGTAATCTGAATTTTTTTAAACAAAATTTGTAGAGAATTTTGTATTCTACAATATTGATAATAAATACAAATAGCAAAAAACCCATAAAAAATGAGATATTTACAAAAAAGCGCAAAAAACCGATTTTTGTGACATTTGACCTTGAAATTTAATAGTTGCGTACACCCTACCATATGTAGATTTTGAAATAACTTTTAGCGTGTCAATATACAAGTATTTACAGACTTACAGCTGGGTATCTCCAGTTCCGAGATTCTTACCTAATTTAAGCTTAAATGACTGGACTAATTGTATATTCAGCCGGAGGATGTTTCAAATTTCTAGTAGCTGTGGTATAAGAACAGTTAGGATCGGGCCCGATTATGATGGTTGTAATTATGTAACACAGTCGTAGCGGTATTATTTGCGTCAGCATGTATGGCGACACACACGGCACATCGAAGTGTATAAAAGCAATTAATTCACTTGTTCTGATTTAAGATCGCTTTACTGGTTTTACGTTCATGAAGCGCTGGTGTGGTCAAAGTTCGAAAAAAGCGATTTGAGACAAAATAAGCGCGAATATTTTTAATTGAGAAAATGAAATTAATTCATTCTGCAACAAATTCCATCAAAATAAAGCATAGGCTAATTTATATTGTTACGCAGTTGCCAATGTGCTTTTACCTTCAAGTTTTTACCTTCCGTAAAGATTAATTGAAATTCCTGATAATCGATAATTGTTAGAAGGTTAACATCGTATAATTTTACATTAAAATATGTATTCAAATTAAAATATTTGCTTGAATTCTGTTTAATCGTCTTATTTAAAATGTTATTCATAATCGTCGAATATCTGGCAACGTTGTTTCTTAACCTCGTTTGTGATTATTGTTAATGTTTTGATTAATTTTAAATGGAGACTTATTATTGTCAATTTTTTTAAAACTGGCCAAATACAAACCGAATATATAGGAGGTCGTTACGGAAATACAAAGTGTGAAAGTTTCATAAAAAAATACAATTTTTTAAATATTTTCAAAACCACTTAGGATATTTTAATCAAACTAATCGCTAAAAAATATGGAAGGAAAAATGTATTACGCCACTGTTCTGTTTTTAATGTTCGATTTGGAAGAAAAAGCAACAAAGACAGTAAATTTGTTCATTCTTTTTTATTATTTTTAATCACTATGAACAATGTACAACAAAAAAGTTATCTTCAATTTTACTAGTCGCCAATTGTTTATTTATTTGTATGTCAGACATTAAAATGAATAACTTTACTAACGCTGAAATGGCACAAATCGAACAATCAAAAAACTAAATATTGAAAAAGAACAGCGGCGTAACATGTTTTTCCTTCGATATTTTTTAGCTATTACCTTATCCGCACGCCACTGGTTAAATTAAAGCCACTGTGTTTGCAGTAAAACACGCAACGTTACTAACTCTCAAAAGCTGCAAAAATTTAACTAAAATATCTCGAGTGGTTTTGTAAATATTTAAAAAATTGCATTTTTTTATGAAACTTTCACACCCTGTATTTCCGTAACGAAGCATTTTTGAGAAATAGTGTATATGACAAAAATACCTTTATTTTAGCTCCAGAATACGCTCCTGAAGTTATGTACCGTACTTATCGAACACTCTGTATAACTTACCCAAAGCTGATTCTGACATGATTAATGATTATTTTTATTTTTACTATACACGGTGTCCCACGTAAAGCTGGCATTACAACTGTATGGAGAATAAATTAATTATTTATTTTCGCCGATTTCTGGGTATACATAATCGAATATGCTCTTTTAAATTAAAATAAAATGAAATCTTTACAACTTTCGGTTATACCGGAAGTGACCACTAACTTCGTTATTTTAAGTAGAATACCCTATATTTTTTTTTATTCCAGATTCAGCACGAAATTCTCTAAACAATAATACCCCATTTGCTTATTTGAATTCTAGCGGATTTAAAGTTATCCAATTTTTTCAAAATGTTTAGTCGCCGGAAGAAATGTTTCTAAAGTAGTCTATCTCAGATAGTATTTTTGACAGATACTTGATATTTTATCCAGATGTAGTAGATGGAATGTACTTTCTAAAAATAAAATTTAGTGACTTCGTTACAGGTGTCATAACTTTGAATTATTATGTTTTTTGTTCAAACTAACTGAAGGGTTTTGAAAGAGATTCAAAAATATTCGTTAGTTCTCATTTGTTTTTTAATTTAATATTTTTTTATTTAAATGTATCTTTTATTGGTCACTTCGTTCAACACGTGGAAAAAAAATTCCTTATAGAACAAAATGAACTAATGTATTCTCATTTTGATTGTAATAATTGTTTTCTTATTTCAACCGGGAATTTTAAAAATATATTTTTAAAATAACTTCAAAACATTCACCATATTTATTACACGACTTTTTAAAAACTGTTTTTTATGAAGGTCGTCTTTTGAAACGTTTTCTTCGTCTAAGTACTTTATTTGTGTTGTGTAAGAATCATGTTTGTAAAGTATTGTACAATAACAAAAATTAACTCTCTTATACAGGGTGTCTCTAATAGCAAGTCTTGATTAAATCTTCTCTACTGATAAATTTATTTGGTTCAATTTTGTAAATACAAGACTTCAAGAATGAATTCTTGTATTACGTTACCAATAAATAATAAAAAAATATATATAAATTGGTTGATTAAGATGATTTAAATTTTAACACTTTTTACTGAGGCACCTTGTTGGCATTCTAACCATAGTCATAGATTATACGTGATGCACTCCCTAACAATCTTGAATTTTTTTATATCGATGTTCTAGACCTATCTTGAGAATCATACCTAGTTGACGCCTTTTACTCTGAAGATATTTTAAATTAATCAGTAATTAACACTTCTCAAATAGAAAATAAACTAACCAATCGTTTTTTTTAGCTTCTACTGCTTCCGCTTTTATTGTTTCGTTATTTCTTTTGGCTTATTTAAACAGACTTTTAGAACTTTTATTAGTAACTTAGACCCTTTTTTTAGTCTGTCACCAGTTTACTGAGTATAATTCATAACAAATCAGGTTTCTTAAAATATTGATCAAATAATTTAAAGTAAAGTAAAAACTAGATTATGATAATAACAAATCAAGTCATTATTATACTTTTTAAGTATTTTTTAAAACCTATTTACATGCTTTCATCTAAATAATATTAAATACTTTAATATTTGACATGTATCATTTGAACTTTTAAAACTTTTCTATTAAATTTACATAATAATAACATGTGACGACATAATTTTAATAACTTTTTTTTTAATTTCGGCTGTTACTAATAAAATATTATCAAGAAGAAGTTTTTAAGGTCTATTTTAAACCTGTTTAAAAAATTGATGTAGCTTTTTAGATGCATGAAAAACCTATGTTATCTATAATTTATTCTCTTTATTTTTTAATAATTGTTAATACACAAATTCTAATTGTTATTTTTAATAGCTTTGTTTTATTTTTTAGGGGAGCAAGATGCCAGAGTATTAACGCTGGCCGAACAGATTATAGCTGCTATGCCTGATAGAATAAAGGTAAAAAGCAAAATTCTCTAAAACTACAATAGTTTTTACGCTTTTCTCAACAAAAAAGCATTGTGAGATCTTTCTCAAATTTTTAGTGAGTTAAAAAATATTAAAATAATCGTTTTTTGAATAATTTTCCATTACGTGTCTTCTTCTTGGTCCTATAATGTTTATATGTCTTTATCCTGTTTTTAATTTTTCTCTTGAATTTGATTTCTGTTTTCTTAATTTTTCTTTTTCTTTTACTACTTATTTTCATAATAACTCCTTTGTTTAACACTTCTATTTTTATCGTTTCATTTCCTTTAATTTTAATATCTTTATTCCTATTTACTTCTTTTCAACTTTATAAATATGTTTTTCATTATCGCCTCTTTCTTCAATTATTATTTTTATCTCTTCAATTTTAAAATTACATCTTTTTCTTGTACGTTTGTTCTTCTTCATTTATTTTTACACTTTCTTTTTTTTTCTGTTGTTTTTTCTATATGGCTGCAGAAGCTAAGCTAAGTGATTCCAATATATTTCAACCTCTTTTGGATATGTCTATGGTCGAAAAGTGACGCTTCTTTTGAGACGTGCCACTTCCCTACCAATGAACACGCTCGTTGTGTACCTAGGGTTATACCAATTACCTCTCTTCGCACAGATGTTACGAAGGTTGGTTTATTTCCAACGTTTGCAACTGAATTTTGGATTCTTAGTCTCTTCATTATTCTGTCCGGTTCCACTGCGGGTCCCGGTATCCATGTCATAGTATATTTGGGTTTCATTACTTCCCCCAGAATCTGTGACTTTGAGTTTAGCACCATCCCAAGGTACCATGCTTTTGACGGTCTGCTCAACCCAATCTCTCGTTGCTTGATCAACGCAAGAAAGGTTTAGACTCCGTTTTCTTATCCTAGCTTCGAAGAACCTGGGTGAAAGTCCTCCTTCGTCCAGTTCTTCGAGTCTGTCGAGCAGTGCAGTCCTTATTAGGTATCCCTGCTCCGTTGATAATATATTATTGGGATAGTCTGTTGGTACAATGGCTACCCCAATATTGCTTACCTTAGAGGCGTAATAACACGATGCTACCGGCTCGGTTCCATCTGGCCCCACATTTAATGTGGTACCAGTTGATCCCGAACCCGCAGCTCTCGTATCCTGAGGCCTTTTAGTTTTTCCTTTTTCCGGCGTGCTGGTATCGGACCGGTTTCTCTTTTGAACCTCGGTTCGTCCCTGCTATGCTTTGCTGTTTTGTTTTACCATCCCTGAGGTACTACGACTCGCGTTTTGGCCCATCTCCGTAGAGAAAGGACGATATGCTTGCCCCCGTACCTCTGGTCCAGCATTCACTCGCATAGTGGTCCGCCCTGGACCGGAAGAACTAGGTCCAACCTCACTCCCCACATCTAATGATGCGGAGGATGTGCCGTCCTGTCCCTCCTGCTCAGAGGTCCCGCTAGTACCGAAAGCTCCAGATTTTTTTTGTATTTTTTTGGGGTTTTGTTGTCCTTATTTTCCATGTAAGTCCCACGAGTAGGCTGCTCAATCTAACATCTGTTTTTATCTGCTACTCTCTCAAAATACTCCTAATTACATCGTTCTGTTCAGCTGTTTCCTGCTCTACTTTACTTCTTTTACTGCCTGGTTTTCTCTACTATCCTCTCGAACTCCAGCTTTTTCTCTATATAATACATTTTAGTAATAAATTGTTTTTTTATACCTTGTATCCTGTTTCTAATTTTTCTCTTGACTTTGGTTTCTGTTTTCTTTAATATTCTTTTAATTTTTAAATTTTTCTTATTTTAATACTTATTTTCATAAGTATTCCTTTTTTTACATTGTAACTCTGTTTTTTATCGTTTTATCTCTTTTTATTTTATTATATTTATTTCTATTTACTTCTTTTCAAGTTTCAAGTTCTTTTCGTTATCGCCTTATTCTTCCATTATTATTTTTTATTTCTTTAATTTTAGTCTTTATATCTCTTTCTTGTACGTTTGTTTCTTCTTCATTTATTTCTACACTTTCATTTTCTTTGTTATCTATTTTATTAAAATTTTCCACTATTACTATATTTTATCCATTTTCTTCCCCAAATTTTTTTTCTTCTTCTGATCTAACATCTTTGCCATTTAAAAATAAATATTTCTTATTATATATTTTGTAACCTATACGGTACTTGTAACTTTATTTTTTATAGAACGAGAGTGAGGAGATGATGGACAAAAGTCCATGCCCAACAGATAATCTACAAACTACTGATACCTTATCTGATGTGTTTATGGAACCATTGTTAGATCAGTCATCTTCCAGTTTTGAATCGACAGAATTTAATTTTGAATTCTCCGATCACAACTATAGGTAAGTAAATATTTCCAACATAACATTAACATTAGTATCTTTGGCATCTCAATCCTGATATTATTCTATTACAAGTGACGAAATTAACATTTTTTTGAAGCGAGAAAACAATTTTTTAATGATTTTAGCATTATTAAGTTTAATAACAATATTCCATACTACAATGTATTTAAATAATACTCTTTTATTAGATGTCATTTTGTATTTTTATGTATATTAAAAATATTTGTTTTTTAGATACTACGATGTCAGTACTCCTTGCTCTAGTTTGAGTCCAGCTTCTTCCAGTTGTTTACAGTCACCTTGCTCCTTCACACTTGATTCTCCGTCTCCACCACCAACCACCGCTGACTTCTGTGAGTTCTTTCAAGCATCAGGCACTGTTTTTGAAAAGGATTTCTCTAATCTAACACTATCAGGTAAAATTACACTTATAATTATTACTACAAATTTTAGCAAATACGTTAAATTGATTTTAAAATAATATTATTATGGGTCTTGCTATTAGGTCTTGATATTGGGTCTTGCTATTGGGTCTTGTTATTGTTAGAGAAAATAATGTGGAAATAGTTTGCTGAAAGGTTTTTATTAACGAATAACTATTTGAACAAACAATACTAAATTTAAAATAGCAATTCAGATTAGGTGCACATATTCATTGATTAATTTACCGAAAGTACTTACATTGACATTATCATTGACAGACGATAATACAGGTATAATAGATACGGGTATTTTAACAGCTATTGGGTCTTGATATCGGGTCTTGGTCTTGCATATACGTTCTTGGTCTTGTATAGACGTTCTTCGTCTTGGTTTTTCCAGAAATGTTATGTTATAAGGAACATTAACAACAGCAAATTTTACCAACATTTTTTATCAGATGTCAATGTTCTATACACCATTCTTTGATACAGATCGTGAACAACGCGAACTCTACGAAGCTGCAAAGATAATCCAAAAGGCGTACCGCTCCTACAAAGGACGCCAGCAGCAAGAACAAAATAAAGAAAGGGCAGCGGCCGTCGTCATCCAAAACTACTACAGACGTTACAAGCAGTACGCCTACTACAAGCAGATGACCCACGCCGCTATGGTGATCCAGAACGGCTACAGATCTTATTGCGAACACAAAAGGTTTAAGAAAAGCCAAGAGGCTGCGGTGTGCATTCAAAACTATTACCGAAATTACAAGGAGCAGGGGGGGAGAAGTAGTAGAGAGGGGACACCCGCTTCGAACGGGTTGAAGTAAGTTGACGTTTCTGAGTTAGTTTCGGGAAGTCGTTTTATCTGATGTGGTCAAAGAAAGTAGGTAAAATTTCAGCTAACACATAATGACACATATACTTTTGGTACATTGAAAATTAAATACGTTTAAGCTTAAACATCAGACGAAAAAATTACTTCCTGGATTATCTCTTGGTGTTGGTTTGTAATTGCAAAGATTTCTTTTATATTCATCTTTAATTAATACTCATGCTGATAAACTAAATTTGTACAATAAAAATCGCTTTTATATTGAATTTTGAAAAACTATTGCTAATAATTTTTAAAATAATAACTTAGGATACTACTGCACATCTCTAAATATCTTTAAATATTTTTATTATCTTTATCTTTAAACATCTTTCTTTAATTATCTTTCTTCAAATATCTTTCTCCAAATATCTTTCTCCAAATATCTTTCTTTAAATATCTTTTTTTGCACTTTAAATATCTGACTTTAAATATCTGACTTTAAATATCTGACTTTAAATATCTGACTTTAAATATCTGACTTTAAATATCTGACTTTAAATATCTGACTTTAAATATCTGACTTTAAATATCTTCCTATAAATATATTTCTTTAAATAACTTTCTTTAAATATCCTTTCTTTGAATATTTTTCTTTAAATATATTTTCTTAAATATCTTTTTTTAGATATCTTTTTTTTACATATGTTTTTTTTAAATATCTGACTTTAAATGTCTGTGTTTAAATATATTTCTATAAATATATTTTTTTTATACCTTTATTTAAATATTTTTCTTTAAATATACTTTCTTTAAATATCTGTCTTTAACAATCATTCTTTAAATATCTTCCGTTAAATATCTTTCTTTAAATATCTATCTTTCTTTAAATATCTATCTTTCTTTAAATATCTATCTTCCTTTAAATATTTATCTTTAAATATCTTTCTTTAAATATCTTTCTTTAAATATCTTTCTTTAAATATCTTTCTTTAAATATCTTTCTTTAAATATCTTTCTTTAAATATCTTTCTTTAAGTATCTTTCATTAAATATATTTCTTTAAAAATCTGTTCCTAAATATCTTTCTCTAATATCTTTTTTAAATATCTTTCTTTAAATATATTTTTTTTGATATCGTTCTTTAAATATCTTTCTTTAAATATCTTTCATTAAATATATTTCTTTAATTATCTCTCCTTAAATATCTTTCTTTTGATATCGTTCTTTAAATATCTTCCTTTAAATATCTTTTTATAATTATTTTTTATTAAATATATTTCTTTAAATATCTTACCTTAAATATCGTTCTCTATTATCTTCCTTTAAATATTTTTCTTTAAATATCTTTCTTTAAATATCTTTCTTTAAATATCTTTCATTAAATATATTTCTTTAATTATCTCTCCTTAAATATCTTTCCTTAAATTTCTTTTTTTAACGATTTTCTTTAAATATCTTTCTTTTGATATCGTTCTTTAAATATCTTGCTTTAAATATATTTTTAATATTATCTTTTATTAAATATATTTCTTTAAATGTCTTTCCTTAAATATCTTTCTCTATTATCTTCCTTTAAATATTTTTCTTTAAATATCCTTCTTTAAATATCTTTAAATATCTTTCTTTAAATATGTTTCTTTATATATCTTTCTTTAAATATATTTCTTTAATTATCTTTAAAATTCTTTGAAATAATTGATAAAAGTAACAAAATACCTTTGACAAACACTCCCTAACACCTTCTTCACTTATTGTAAACACCTTTATACCACAAGGGATATATTGTCATATTTTTTAATATTTTTAATATTATTTTCGGATAAAATTTAATATAAAGCATCGTATACTTCTTTAATCTTATATGGTTCATTGCATTAACTCAACTAGACTACCTATATCTTTTAAAAGTTTTAATATTAATAACCTAAAAAACACAAATCTTTTTTGTTCTGAAATATGAATATGAATTAAGTTTGTTTTATATATTTTTACCTTCGTTTCTTGGACCAGTTCTCTTTTTCCTACAAACCGTAAAATTTCAATAAAAATATAAAAGAAACCTTTGCTATTCGTGTCACTATAGTTTCACTTTGCTTTAAATGTATCTCATTCCCCTAATAATTGTTTAGAACTGCTTTCTATGTTACTAACACCAATGCTTCAACCTCGACCCCTGCTCGTGTGGTAATATGTAGTTTTAAGTGTACATTAAGCCCTTAACAACCTGTTTTATTAACCCTATATAACTGTTTTGCCTAATAGCTACGTTTTCAATATTATTAATATTATTACTTAATTTTAGGCGTACTTACTCGCAAAGAAGACAACACCAAGCAGCAAGAAAGATACAGCAGTTTATGAGACAGTCCAAGAATAAGTGAGTATTTATTTTTTTACTGTTATTCGTTTTTACTTTTTATTATACTTGTAAATAAAAAAATATATATAATATCTTTCTTTATGTATCTCTCTTTAGATATATTTCTTTATATATCTTTCTTTTGAAATATATTTATTTAAATATCTTTTTTAAATATCTTTCTTTAAATATATTTTTTTAAATATATTTGTTTAAATGTGTTTATCGAAATATATTTCTTTAAATATCTTTCTTTAAATACCTTTCTTTAAATATATTTCTTTAAATGTGTAAAGACGTATTTAAATGTAGAAACTCGCTGATGAAAACAGTTCAATGTCCGAAAGTAATCGTTTTGTATTGTATTGTAATTTTCTATGGTGTTAGGTGACAACATTGCCCTGTATTTATTTACGAGGCAATATGCTTTCTGTTGAACTCTTATTTCATTAAGTTTTTTTTTTTTTGATCACATATCTAAACTGTCTTTGTATATTTACCTGGTTCGTACGGCGTAATGTGGACAATGTAATTGCATAAGAAGTGATAATGCCAGATTTACTCCAGATCTGGGGAAAAATTAAACCGGCAACACCGAAATTCCACTAACTTTAAATTTAAATTTATTATATAGATGTATTTGTCTATGTTTCACTTACAAATTAAATTTTTATGCAAGTTCTTTATCATTATTGAAATAATAAAACAGTTTTGCTCTATTTTGGTGGACAACGATAAATAAAAATACACTTTTATTTGTCTGAAATTATAAATGAGAAACTATATAACTGGTAGCTTTAAATATAAAATAACAGAACCGTTTATGTTTAATACTTGTAATCATAAATTTAAGAGTATTATGTTTGATTTTTAACTTAAATTCGAAATTTTTTAATGCTAACCTAGTATTTGGGATGATCCAATGGGACCTACTACGAATGTAAGTTATGTAAGTTATCTATTCGAAATTGTCTACGTACCTAAATATACTTAATGATTTTATTCTTCTTTAAATATTATTTCTTTTTTTTAATTTAGATTACAGAGAGAACGAGCCGAAAGAGAGAAGCAGGGGGGCCAGTCAGCGGATGCCCATCAAAAGTCACTGTGTCCAGGGGGCTCTTCCAGTTACATAGGCCCAAATAGCAGGTAAGATCCCTCTATTTTTGAATTTTATCAATCTAATCTAATTTTAACTAGTTCAATCACTGATAAGTTTATGTTTACTTTGCCCTTTCCTTCGAAATTTAGATATTTTATAATTTAAATAAATTTATTTCGCCAAATATATTGATCCTCTTTTAGTTCACCAAAAAATATGTATAAACTTTCTCTTTTCTCTTCTTCATGTAAGTTATTGGTACATTTGTTTCATATCATTATATCTTAAAAAGTTGTCCACCCAAAAGCTGTAAAAAAGGTTTCAGAAAGTGACCAGAATAGCGCTCGTGTACTAGAAAAGTAAGATTTACTGATATATAATTATATAGATTGCTTATCCTTACGTAAATCAGATGACTGTTGATTTTCTTCATTTCTACTAGTATACAGCTGTTTCTCTAGATTTTGAATACTCATAATTGTTTCATGTAGATCTTCATGATAAATATCAGACACTAAACCGCGCCGCACCTTTTACTTCTTTTTTTGAAGTATATGCTTGCAAATAAGAGGTTTTCATTATTCATATGATACGGAGTATATGCTTTTACTTCTACCTTTTACTTGAAGTACTTGCTTATACTTTTACCTTTTCCTTTAAAGCAAATACTCTCTTTTTATTCATACGGGTAAATATATAACTCGTACTTACTTTTTTTGTGAGAACAGATGATAACACAAAAACCACTCTATCGATATGGTTGAAAAACTGATCGTTTTTCATCCCAACTTAAACAAATAGAAAGTGTTCCTAATAAATTCATTAATACTGGGTGTTCTATTTTCTATGTAACTTAGTATATTTTTGATCTACAGAAATCGAAGGTAGAATACGATCATTGACATCTTCAAATACATCTGTGAAACAGAAAGATAGTTTCTGTTATTTTAAAAATTTTAAACTGTTTCAACTGTTTTTAATCGCCGCCCCCCATGTTTTATTAAATTTTCACTGCACCACAAAATGAAAAAAAATTTTCCGAAACATATGTAGTGCTTCTGCTTAAATGATAGACCAATGAAATTTTGATTTATATAAGATCCTTGACATCAATTCTTGTACGCAGTTCCTCTGATTTGTCTATAACACTTATGGCGTTTTCCATTGGAACTGGCAGTACGCTCTGAGTATATTCGTCTCCTTTTTTATCGATATGGAAAAGAAGAAAGTGAGAATACACTCAGAACGCACTCAGCAATCCAATGGAAAATGCCATTAGTTTATGGTGTATGATAGAAAAGTATCTAATGTTATTTTTTATATTTTTCAGATCAAATAATACAGACTTAAAAGAAGACTCAAGAAAAAGCAACGATAAGAAGTGAGGAATTCATGAAAATTTTTCACATGTACCTAGATATATAAGAATTAATACCGTACAGGTATATTTTTGATTTTGTATAATATAGTCGCTACTAGATAGCATCTAGTACTATATTTACTTTAAAAATATTCTTATATCTTTACAATGTCTAATTTGGCTGTTATTTCGTCATTTTTATGCATTTATACAAGAATGCAAGGATCGACAACAAAAGTGAGATGATTTTAGACCTTGTACGAACTTTTTATTATAATTATTACCTTCTGATTGTATGGATTCAGAGCTGTGATTGTAGTAAGGAAGACACTTTTTCAAATTTTAGCTTTTAATTTCTTAGAAGTTGCATGAAATTTATCTCATTTCAATTTGAAATTTGAAACCAATTTTTAACGCAGATGTATTGAAATTGAATAAAAATAAGAGTTGTCATTTTAAAAAAATAAATTATAAGTAATTGTTATTTACAAATTAGTATTTGTTCTTTAAGCAACATTTACTAAGATATATCTTCTTAAGGACTTAGGTAAGACTTTTGGAAATGCTATATAAATGAGGGCATCTTTCCATTTTTTATTTAATTAATTCAGCTAAGAACTGTTTAAAAAAATGTGACAATTTTTTATTTTTAATCATCCTGTGGTTAAAAATATTTTTAGCAAAAGTCCTAAGCATTGGTACCATATGGAAAGCTTTTTTTTATTAATTTTACGAAAAAAAATTAATCTATATAAAAAGTTATGTATGATTTAAAACCTATAATGAAATCATCAGACATCAAAATGTATTAGTCCTATACGAGGTACGTCACAAATTATAAATTTGGTTCAAGAATAAACTATCTTAATATTTTTGATAATATCCAAAAATTTTAAAAAGTTGTTGGGGATTAAATACTATTAAATCTTAAATAAAATCATATTTTGCAACTTTTCGAAAATGTCAAATTTAAATTAACTAATTGATAAATCTTGTACTACTATCATTGCTACATTTTTTGTTCTACATATTTAAATGTAATTTTTAAATCTTAATAATATTATTTAATATTTTTAATATTTTTTTTATTTTCTTATATTTTATTACGTACCCTGTATATGACTTTTACTTCTTGATGTCTAATTTTCATTGTGGGTTTAACACCAAGCAGATCTTTCTATAAGAATTAACTTTTTTTTCTTAAAACTAATAGAAAAAGTTTTCCTTGTGACTCTAACCCAAGTGGACACAGTGTAGGTATAGGTATTCATATTTTTAATTGACTTGAGATAATCATGTTAAAATGAAGAAGTTGGTTAGTAATTCCACTAAAAAAGTCTATTCAAAAGCTTTTACTGTTTTATTGGCGGCTTATTTTCCTTTTAATTTTACTTTTATCTACAGTAATGATTGCCTATAAAGAGTGGAATACTTGCAATATATTCGATGATTTGTTACATAAAAAGAACAATATTAAATAAATCTTTGGTTTGGCTGAAATCAAAACATAAATATTCTAAAATTACTTGTCAAGAACTTATAAAGACATTATTAACATTTCTTCAAATAATTGAATGAATCATCTTTGATACAATAGCGAGAACCGCAGAGCTTTATCATTTTTACAGTTCAGATATAAGGAATGAAATTATAATTAAAACAAAACATGGATACAAGGGATAATTCTTAAATTCTCGGACTAGCCATAAAACAAAATACTATAACAAGAAGAAATACATATTTTTATATAGTTCTTCTAAGACTTGTTCGCAAAATTGCATTCAATAGCAGCTATAGAATAAAAAATAGACACAAGGGGCCAAATCTGGATTATGAGACGGATCATAAACTTCAAGGAAACTAGATTCAGCAATGGTAGCTTCCGAAATGTATTGGTGCACCTTTCGTTAGTTTTCCTCGCTTTTTCAGTTTGATAAATTCTCTGAGGGGGTACATTAAGCTCGGATAGAACTCCTGTTGCCGAGTTACCTTATTAAAATAATCAATCATTTAAATTCCTTATCTGTCCCATTAAAACCGTTGCCATTATTTTTCCTGAAGAATAAGTGACTTTAAACTTCTTAGGAAGGTTGGAACTCCTAATAAGCCACTGCAGCCACTGTTTCGATTCAGCACAGGGATTCTTAGGGTCGAACTCGACACGAAAAGAGAGAAACATTACATAAAACTGGCAGTCTGTCGAACGAAGACATATGCTGTATTGAAAGATGAGAATCCCATTGCAGAATCAAAATAATGAAATCATGTTTCATGTGACATCATATTGTTACATATCACCCTATATTGTGCTGCCAGTATCAAGCCTAAGCCAGTATCAAGCCCAAGGTGGAAAACCCTTTTGCACCTGATAGAGTGTTGTCTACAGACAATTCTGAGTCCCAACATCGAAAAGATTGTATTACTCATGTTCGTCTGTCAAGAGATCTAGTCGGACATGCAAGGATCGATCCCATCGCTCAAAGGAAAATAGGGCTCGTGCGACATTGCCTAGTAAAGTCACATTATTTTGAGCCTTTCGACTCTCGGAACTCCAAGAGATATCGTTGCCACCTTTGACTAGAAAGAAAACGGCCTTAAAGGCGTTCAGGCATAATCCCTCTGGCTTGGTAGTGGTTATCCGAAGAGTAATTTTATCAACCGGTTCCTCTCGTTATCTGAGCCCTTTACTGTACCGGCATTCTCGTTCTAAAAAGGGTCGCCTAGATAGAATGTCTGCGTTGCTACGGAGACATTCTAGGAGGCCTCTTCGATACTCTACTTCCTGGTTATAGCTTTCTGGTCTCATTCCCTGATTCTTGATGTGTAGAACGAGCCCTACTTCTGCAGGTCCCCGATTCTTCCGCAATTGAAGCATCTCCTGCTTCCATTTTGGCTGTTTTGTTGCAGGATATTTAAGATTGGTAAAAGGGTAGGTTGGGGGAATAGTATTAATATTAGTCTCCTCATTTTTCTGGGTTTTAATTTATCTCACTCTTGCGCGAGAAGATCTAGATAGGAGTTTTAACGCTTCATATTCCTGGGCTGCAATGGGCTTCTCCCTCAGCGTCTTGTGGTGCAGATGAAGGGCTTGCTGCATTTTCACATCTTGGAGTAGATCAATGAGTGCCTGTATTCCGATTTGTTCTTGGAAATCTTAGGGCGCCTGTGGATAGGCCAGATGCATCAATCTTCTTATGTCGACCTTGAATTATTGTAGACTCTCATTATGTTTCTGACAACAAACATTTAGCTGACATGTATAACTGGGTTCCCCTTGGGGAAGTAACTGTAAAACGGTAGCTGCCTGTCTGCGCAGCGACACTATCAATGAAGCCGCCAGCCATTGGCTCTAGCTGCAGCTTCAAATTGAAGTCGATATGTTTCCCATGTTATCTGACCCTCAAACATGGGTGGCTTCAGGATTTTGTTACTATGGTTTTGTATGACTGGGTAACAATATGTTCCTAGGCAAAATGATGTGGCGCAAAATTAGACTGCCAATAAAATGTACTTCCTTTGCTTTAAAAACATACCAGGCATTTAATGAAACTTTTTACTGGACTCGCCTAACTGAAAAGCAGTATAGAAAGTTTATTTAAAATTGTGTACCAAAGTACATAAACGAGATTATTATAAAAGATAATAAACAAGAGCTGCGATGAATGTGTTTTGCTGTTCGTAAAATAAAAGCAACGTTGGTTTTTCACCAATCCAACGGTATGTTATGATAGGTATGGAAAGAAGAATTATTGTTTCTTCTTCTGTCGCTAACGCGGCAAAGGAGTATTATCGATGTTTACAACGACCCTTCTCAAGGAAGTGTAGGATTTGGAGTGGTTTCAAGTTAGATAGATCTCCCTCTTCTATTTGATATAATTCTTAGTGCTAAACATTCAGTCAGAATGTGAATAGATGTTTCGGGCTCCTCAGTTATAAATAACTAAACAATGTCAATTTTAGCATTCGAGTCTCTGAGACTTTACAATCAATATTTCACACTGATGTTTTTGGTTCCATAAATTTATTGTACCATGATCTATGATACACTTGTTATAAACTTTTCGTCTAAGACACTGTAGAATATCTCTTCTTAAAAGGTGACTGTTGCTCAGGGCAAGTTTATTAACTGTTGTCAGTCATCCTATGCAGCTTCCAAAGCAGCTGTATCCAACTTAGCTTTAATTTGCCTTTCCTTGTACTCTAATGCTGACAATTTTCTTCAATTTTGGAAATTGAAATCTGTCAACTACTTTTTCGTTGATTATATCAAGTTCAGAACCCGTATCTAACAGAGCTTTTAGTTTTATACCATTTACTAATACCAGTACATTTTCATCATTTTCTATAGAAATGCCGGAATTGTAAGAAAAATTCAACATATTGTATTTCTTTCTCATCTACGTCATTATTAACTATATTATTACAATTGTTGCTAGCAAATTTTTCTTTCAAATCTGCTCCTTGGACCCCTTCTTCTGTTTGTTTATTGCTGTCTCTGTTCTCTAATGGCTTCCAAGTGTAATTTTTTCGAAAATGTGTTGGAGTATTCTTTGGCAACCTGTATTCCTGATTAACTACTTTCTCAATCTTTAAGTACTTTAAATTTTGTAGTAACTCCTGCTTCGATTTAATTTCTTTACCACTGAGCTGCTTTTGGATGGTTGTAGGAAGTCCCAAAATAACTAGGGCTATTAAAGATTTTTCAGAAATGGTATCATCTGCCCATTTTAGTAACCGTAATGATACTTAAATGCCAGTGCTTTTTCCCATTTAATAATGCAATTTTCATCGAATGTTTCTATGAACTCCTTCTTCCATTCTTTCCACTGAAACTCATTTACTGCTATGATCTGAACCTTCTCTTCATACCAATTTAGTGCTATGCCTACCAGTTGACTTATTAGGTGGAAGATCTTCTCAGCTGCTGAATTCCATTCATTCGAAAGACATGCAAACTCATATGAGTTCATCCATGCTATTGGATTCTCGCCCAAACCATTACACATAGGTATTTTCACCATCTCC